CACTCATCCAATATTACTTAAAAAAATAATATAATAATTAAAAAAAAAAATGTTGAAAAATTCTCATTTCTTCAAAGCTTCTAACTACCCCTAACCCCCTAAACTCATTTGTCATGGCGTCAATGGTTAATGCATTTCATAATATTTAATGCTTAATTAATTGAGTGCAAAAATAGATTTTCCAGTATTTCCCAATGTGCTAATGACGTATGTATGTATGTATGGGGGCAATGTTGATGAATGAACTGTTTTGAATAAAAATGATGTAACTCTATTCGTGTATTCGTCGAATGGTTTGATTCTCTTTAAAAAATATTTATTAATCTGATTAAGAAATTCCTTTTATTATATTAAAGCAGCTGACTCGGGTTGCTTCACCTTCAGTCACCGCACTGGTACCTGGCTTTGCTGTTACCTAGCAGTTGGCCTCTAATGGTAGTGGTAAGCAGCTCCTTTCCGTCTACTTTGGTGGTCTTACATTCACTTTAGGTTAGCTTCTTAATTGGACCAAAACAACTACAACACTGTTTACACTCTGGACGTAGTATCGTCTAAGTAACACTCGTTGATGTATACTCCCTCTAGCCTTTGATTGGTCCCGGCTGCCATTATTCCCTGTGTGGGAGCTCCCATCTAGCGGCTTCATAGTGTTTGCCAGTCCTTTTGGTGAGGTTCATTTCTGCGACCTCAACAAAAGGAGAGAAAATTTATGAAAATGAAAAATTACCTGCAGCTTCAGCTGCGGCTGGTTTACGGATTCTGTAGGCTTCAACTCCGCTCCTAAACAAGTCAAACTCGTCAAAGCAAGGCGAAACCAGTGTTAAACACTACGAATCGCGTTGAGCTTTCAGCAGATACTAGCAGCTGGAACTACACAAACTACCAGTGGAGCTAACCCAAAAGCGAACGTAAAATTCTCAGAGAGCAGAAAATTTCTTCAAACAACTGATGATGTAAAACCAACTCCTCCCTCAAGAGGCCGACGGTTAGAGCTATCTGTTAGTACAGCCTTAGAAAAAAGTGGCGTAAGTATAACTTCCAGCAGCAAGATAAACGACGACAGGTCGTTCACCGTAGCGCCCCGTGCCTACATTTAAGCTATAGTCGACACTGGAAGACCCGGAAGGAGCATGTGTTCTGAACAATAGGATTTGCCTTTGGCGGTGCTCGGATTGTCTTATAGGGAAGTCCTATATCCATCCAGATATATAAATAATTAATATTTTCAAAATTCGACTTACACCATTTTCATTTACTACAGCTTAAATAACAACTAACGACAACAGCTGATGAAATTTAACAAAAAAGCAAATATGCAGTTCAGCATCAATGAGCGAAAACAAATATTTTCATGCATACGTACATATATATGTATGTACATATGTACATATGCTTAACCTGCTATAATCATACGTGACATAAAGTGCATTAACGATAAATATGTATGTACATGTATTTATATGTAAAGTGACGCGCTTGCTTTTTAACCCCAAACCGTCCGCGAACCATGTACATACCTACATACATATGTATGCAAGTACGTGCAGCGCTGCACACATCACAGATTGAGTTTGCCGGTCATTCTATTGTAGTTGGAGACAACACAAAGATGCATATGAATATGCCATGGAAATACAATTCAATACAAACATGCATACATATATATAAATATATGTATATATGTATATTAAGAGTATAACAATAGATGTATAGAAATATGTTGCGTTTATAATGGTTTAATTTAGTGCTGCTGCAGCAAAATATATTTTTATAAAAATCGTTAAATGTAGAAATATGTATGTACATATGTATGTATGCATGGATAATAGCCAACTATAATAGTGTTTTTTTTTTTAAGTTTTTCAAAAAGCCGCATAGTGCAATAATCGTCATCAATTAGCACTTATGTACATTTGTATGTGTATGTATATACATACATATAAATATGTGTGTGCGAGTATGTAAAATACGTAAATGTGTCACTATTTTTGCCACAGCTGTTAATGAGCATTCTCCACTTCCCTCTACGTGCCATAATCGCTGCTTATTTAAAATTACACGACGCGAACAATAAAAAAACAAAATGGAAAAAAATTCAAAACTGCAAAAAAAAGACGTGACAGCGGCATTGTTGAGGTCAGACTTTATGAAGGTGTGTCAAAACTGAATGAATACAATATCGAATTACGCACCACACACCCATAGGCAACTTAATGCCTTTATATGTATGTAAATATTGCATTTTTCTGCTTTCAATAAATAGTGTTAATTTCCAACTATTAAACAAATGCACTTAAATTATTACTTTATGTATGTACGTGTATGTTCGACTTCGCAATAATCTAATCGCTATTCGTAAACACGCTTTGATTTCGGCTATGTCTAGCGCAAACTGCGATTTTTCGTGCCACTCGGCGCACCTTCTTATTCACAAATATACATATGTACATATGCATGCATGCAATTCATGTATGTATATACATACATATGCACTAATATGCATATGTTCGCTGCTAAAATTGCCTGGTTGCCCTGGCTTGCATGCCACTTGGTATATTGATTTTCTACACATGCCACCAGCGCCGTCAGCGCCAGGAACCCTTTAACTGACATTGCAATGCGGCGCTCTACAGCTTTTGCGGTGCATGTACATATGTGTTGCTGCTGCGGCATGTCACGTCACTGCACTGCACTGTTTGCACATTCAATATTTTTTTTTTATATTTGATTTTTACTTTTCTTTTAAATATAAAATTCTTTCAGCCGGCTTGGCAGCGTTTTCCTACTTTGGGGCTCGGCTAGTTGTATGTGTGTACATATACACGTTCAAAACTCTTCTATTGCTCTGATTTCAACATTTTATTTCAGTTTTTAATTTAAATATTAGTTAAAGGTCATAAGCTCGCTCATTCTTTATGCACTCACATAGTTCACATGCATACATATGTGCATATATGTACATACATAGTAATAGGCGCTCAACCCTTTTAGGTGCAGGCATACCTAAAAATCGTATGCATGAATGGCAGTTAGAAGTAGGGAGATCGCCAGAAAATTGATTTTTCTTGTGCCATTTCGATGAAACGAAGGAATATGAATAGAGGGGCTGCTGCAGCAGCAGCATAAATCTTTTACACGTAATATGCTAGCGCGACATGGAAGACTTATATTTTGTTTTAAGTCCAATTGTAAAAATCTGATAAATAATTTACACATTTATTTTATGTCGAAGTTATCACTCCATCTTACCTTTCTTACAACTTTAATTGGTATTTTTTATATTTTGTTTATGTTTTTTTTACTATTAAATTCTAATTTAACGCTTATTTCAGTTTATATGCGCTTATTTTCACTTTATCTCTTTTATCTTTAGAGCTTTCTTACACTTTAGTTCTAGCAGTGCACAGATTCTTTTTTTTTAGCTTTATTTTGTTTTTATTTTATTTTCTTTTTCTCTTGCACTATTCTACTCTGCTGCATTAGCTTTTTTCTTGTTCACATTGCACTCACTAAAATTCTGCTTTGAATTATTTTTCATGCACTTTACCTATGTATTTGATAATAGGTAGTATGGCTAATGGCACTTTTTATTATTTAATGTTAAATTTTTTGTTTTGTACAATTTAAATATTTAAACCTTTCAGTTTGGTACATATTCCTATATAAGCAAAATAAATTAAGTGGCTCTGCCTTTTTTCTACTTTATCCGCTGCAACGCACTTGTCGAGGCACCGCTTTTGTTCATATCACTTGCGCTCTCACGGAATTTTTATACATGACTGCTGTCATATTTCACTTGTCGTCAACGGAATTGTTCGTGGGTGCATCGGAAGCGGAACTATGGAATTCACCGGTATGTGTGGGGTAATGAAACACAGAGTTACACTTTGATAATATTTTTTTACAAGTCACTACACTGGGGAAAAGATTGTGAAAACTTAATTAAGAGGCAGTAGGTATATATGTATGAACTTATTTCCAAGAGTCTCCTTAACGTACCCAACCAATTCATATTTTTCGTCTTTTTTTCTTTTCTAATGGTCAGTTGGTTGGTTGAAAGAGGGAGTTTGAAAGTCTGACCGGTCTCATTTTTCAAACAGATATGCTATGTTTTCGACACAGATATTGTTGAAGTTTCTGTCAAATCTGAATTGTTTTGTTGCTGCTTTTATCATTGATTGATAAAATAAAAAAAATTGAAGAGGAGCATTTTGCGTGCTCACAGTAGTGAGATTCTTAGGTGAAAGAAAAGAAGAAAATATCCCATCAGGTTGTCAAACTATTTCGAAGTGGAAGTTCATCTACACAGATGCATCAGGAAGAGTATCACATCAATGGGTGATTTCTGATTTATTGAGAATTATTGGGACAATTCAGATTTTAACATTTTTTTTTTGTTTTATAACATAAACATAAACATAAATCCCAGGTAAAATTCAAACAGAAAGCATCTGCCTGCGCTATATGTGTATGTAGGTGATAGGCACCCATGATTCGAATACTCATTTCCCTATCCTGTTTCCTGTTTTGCTTGTTTCCTTCAATGTATCCTCAAATTTCAACCATTCCATCTCATTTTACACATCCTCTGTTTCATTATAACCTCACATTCCATTGCGTACCGTTTCCCTATAAAAGCAGCTGATTTGTTAGTTGTCAAATATGTGAAGTATGTAAAACAAAATCTACAACAAAAATATATTACATATTTTTTATCTTCGCTGTATGTGTATCCAACTTGCTCCACGATTTTGGTGGGGAGAGTGATTAAGTAAGCGAATTTTCCACGAATCCACGAAAAAATTCGTCAGGACAAATTTGCGTTGTGGCAGCTGCATTTGTTAGAAAAAAATATAAACAATTCACAGCAATAGCCAAAATTAGTAATAAATAATTTCATAGAAACAATAGTACAAACCGAGTGGATTTCTAATAGGAGTACATACATACATTGTACATAGGTGGTGTAGGGGATAGCAAAAACAAAATAAATAGAATTAATGTTTATTAGACACGCGTTGGTATTATGTTGTAGACAACAACAATATTCACGATCAATATTAAACGTCCATAACACAAAAAGGTAAGCGCAAATGCAAAAAAAAGACGGAAAACAGTTTTAGGTGAATTGCAAAAATGTAATATATTGGCATATACAAGTACATATACATACTTGCAAAGGCTTGAGTCAGAGAATGTATTAAAAATTATTTTCAATATTGAATTTCACAACAATATTTACAGCATTTGGCAAAGCTCAAGTTTTTTGTTAACCTGTGCAGAATCAAACTTTATAATACAGCGTAAAATGAGTGCTTCAAGCAATACAGCTGTTGGAGAATCGGGTGGTGTTAATAAGCTGCCACTGAAGAAGCCACAAGAATTAGAAACCATTTTACGGTGAGTGAGCGAATGTGAATGTTTATGCACTAGCATAAACAATTGAGGTTTTAAAAATTTGTGGCTTTTAATATTTATCCTTCAAATTTTTTTACATTTAAATAGTTTAAATGACATTACAAAGTCAGAACAAGATACTCGCGACTATCGCGGCTTGCAGCTGGAGAATGGCTTGAAGGTGTTGTTGATTAGTGATCCGAAAACTGATGTTTCTGCAGCGGCGCTGGCTGTGCAAGTTGGGTAAGCGCGCTTTAGTAAATTATTTAACTGAATTTATATATGTATGTATATGTTTTTTTTTTGTAATTAGTCACATGTCCGATCCCGATAATCTACCTGGTTTGGCGCACTTTCTGGAACATATGCTTTTCTTGGGTACAGAAAAGTATCCGCATGAAAATGGTTATACCACCTATTTGTCCCAAAGTGGTGGCGGCAGCAATGCGGCTACATATCCGCTAATGACCAAGTATCATTTTCATGTAGCGCCCGACAAGTTGGATGGCGCACTCGATCGCTTTGCGCAATTCTTTATAGCTCCTTTATTTACGGCCAGCGCAACGGAACGTGAAATAAATGCGGTATGCCAGCATTTTATGACAAAAAATTTGTTTGTAATTTTGTACTCTTAACATACTTCAGGTCAATTCCGAACATGAGAAAAACATACCTAGCGACATATGGCGCATTAAGCAGGTGCATAAGCATTTGGCAAAACCGGATCATCCATACTGCAAATTTGGGAGTGGTGAGTAATTGCAATTTTTAGCAAAAAAAAAAAACAAAATAAAATAAAAACTGTTTTATTGTAACAGGTAATAAGGCCACACTGCATGACATACCGAAATCGAAGAACATTGATGTGCGTGAAGAGCTTTTGAAATTTCATAAAAAATGGTATTCGGCGAATATAATGAGTTTGGCTGTACTAGGCAAAGGTAGCACAAAGTTTTACAAAAAAATTTTGAAAATTTATTAAAAATTGAATATGTTTCAGAATCACTTAATAAGCTTGAAGAAATGGTTATCGAAAAGTTCTCTACAATTGAGAATAAAAATGTTGAATTACCAACTTTTCCGCCCGAACCATTCTCTGAGGATAAATATGCGCAGAAAGTTTATATTATACCAATAAAAGATTTACGCTCCTTGACGATCAGCTTCACAACAGCTGATCTAACGGCTTTCTATAAATCTGCGGTTAGTGAATTAATTAATAATAATTTATTTGTAAAAGTAATATCCACCTTTTCTCATATATCCAGCCTGATAGCTACCTTTCGCATTTACTTGGGCACGAGGGCAAAGGCAGCATACTATCTGAGCTGCGTAATCTTGGTTGGTGCAATGAGTGAGTTGAAAATTGTTAAGCTGCATTTAAAATTTTGTATAATTATTGCAACTTTTCTGCTGTGCAGCTTAATGGCCGGCCATCAGAATACATTAAACGGTTTTGGTTTCTTCGAAATTGTTGTCGATCTAACGCAGGAGGGCATGGAGCATGTGGATGATATTGTAAACATAATCTTTCAAGTGCGTAAAAATTGTACAATTTCTTCTTTTTTTTGTGAATTAATGAAAGCTAAAATTGTATTTCCCTTACAGTATTTAAGCATGCTACGCAAAGAGGGTCCGAAAAAGTGGATTTTCGATGAATATGTTAATATAAATGAAATACGTTTCCGTTTTAAGGACAAAGAACAGCCGGAAAATATGGTTACACATGCGGTGTCGGCAATGCAGGTCTGTAAAACACCGTTAACAGCTGTTAAAAAAAAAGATTTATATAATTTTGAGTTGATTTAAATGTTTTATTGTAGATTTACCCACTCGAAGAAGTACTCACTGCACCTTACTTGAGCAATGAATGGCGTCCCGATTTAATAACCAAACTGCTCGATGAACTCGTGCCGGAAAAGTGTCGCCTTGTATTAATTGGTCAAAGTTATACAGCGCTTTGTAATGAAAGCGAACCATATTATAAAACTAAATATGGCGCATATAAAATTGATAGCGATACTATAAAGGTATGTCGGCAAGTTAAAAAAAATATATATAAAAATTAATTAATCGTTTATCTTCTCTTCAGCGCTGGCAAAGCTGTGAACTCAACGATAACGTTGCACTCCCTCTGCCAAATGATTTTATACCTAAAAATTTAGAATTAGCGCCAGTGGACGCGGATATAACAAAACATCCAAGCATTATTAAAGATACGCCCATCTTGCGGGTGTGGCATAAACAAGACGATCACTTCTTAAAACCCAAAGCATGCATGACTTTCGATATGTCTAATCCCATAGCTTATCTTGATCCACTCAATTGTAATTTAAATCAAATGATGGTTTCACTACTCAAAGATCAATTGAATGAATATTTATATGATGCGGCTTTGGCGGGTTTGAAGTTGATTGTGAACACGAAGTCGACAGGCATAGAGGTTTGCATAGATTTCTATACATTATATATATATATAGATGCATATCAATAATAATTTATTATTCACAGTTTTCGATACGAGGCTATAACGATAAGCAGTTAGTTTTATTAGAAAAAGTATTGGATCATTTATTCGACTTTAAAATCGATGAAAAACGTTTTAATATATTGCGCGAGGAGTTTATACGTTCGCTAAAGAATTTCCGCGCTGAACAACCGTATCAACATTCAATGTATTATATGGCTTTAATTCTAACCGAGAATGCTTGGGCAAATGGGGAGTTGTTGGATGCGATGGAATGTAGGCTGACTTTCAAATATTAAAAAAAAATAAATAAATAAAAGCATTAAATTCTTCAAAAATTTTCCTCCACAGTGGTTACTTACGATCGCGTGGTGAATTTTGCACGTGATTTTTTCCATCGTCTACACACTGAATGCTTCATTTATGGCAATGTGACAAAGGCGCAAGCATTGGATATTGCAGCGCGCGTCAATAAACGTTTGGAGGCCACCAATTCTATTGTTTTGCCACTTTTGGCGCGTCAGATGCTCAAGAAACGAGAGTACAAATTGTGTAATGGTTAGTGTGAGAGTTGGTAATGTGATAAAATTTGATTTATTTAATATATATATTTTTTTATTCTTTTAGGCGACAGTTATTTGTTTGAAACTCAAAATAAATATCACAAAAACTCCTGTGCTCAATTGTATTTCCAGTATGGTCCACAAACAGATCGTTCTAATATTATGTTGAATTTGATTGCGCAAGTCCTGTCGGAGCCATGCTATGATGTGTTACGTACGAAGGTGAGTGAAAAAAGATATATAATAAAGATATACGAATATATTATATTCTTACTCAAGCATTTGAAATTTAAAATAAATATATGTATATATGTACTCGTACATCGAGGAAAATATATAAGAGCATTGAGTATTGAGGTTGTGGGTCAAAAATCTACCTAAAAAAGGCAGCTAGAAGCGTGAGAGTTGATATTCTACAGACGTGTATACAAATAAACATTGAACTGAAAATCATAGAAAACGGTTGACTATATTATATAGCCCCCATATAGCCGATTTATTCAAATATTAGTTTTTGGATTAAAAAAGCGTCAAAAAAGCATCTACAATTGTGAGATTTGGTATTCTGCACACGCCTATCTACAAATAAACATTGACACCGAAAATCATCGAAATCGGAGGACTATTTCATATAGCTCTCATACAACCGATTTGTTCAGATATGAGGTTTTTGAGTCAAAAATGCGTCAAAAAAGCATCTACAATTGTGAGATTTGGTATTCTTCAGCCGTATCTACAAATAAACATTGACACCGAAAATCATCGAAATCGGAGCACAAAATTAATTTGAAAATGAAAATTTTTCGAAAACTTGAATGTGCTCTTGCCAAAAATCAAAAGACAACAAGTAGATTAGAGTTAGTACTTTCATTATTCGCTGATGTTTATACCAAAATGTAATACAACTAGTCTCTCGCCATGCGCAGCTTTTATGGAAGCATAATAAACAATTTTTTCTTGGGCTCATATGTTTGTGGATATTTTGTAGCTGCCAATCGAAAAACATAACAAATTACTTTTTGTAAGCAATTATCAAAAATTTGTTACAAAAATACTTACAGTTACTAATTGGGTCAGTTTTATTGAATTCCTACCGAAAAAAAAGTTGCTTTTTTTCCTCATCTGTTATTATTATATTATTTATGATTATTGCTATTATTTATAATCTATTTGCCCATTTTGTTTATAACTAGTTAATTAAGTGATTTTTGCAGCTTTTTTATTAAGTCTCATTTTTCATGCGTAAAGTTTTTTTTCCTCTTTTTTTTTAAATAAACTTTTCAGTATCAAATGGTCCCCTGTGAGTCGGTTGTTTTTCGATAAGGCAACTATTTTTTTTAAATTCTTTTAAATTAATCTAAATAATTAAAACAAGAGAGTATAATTGTCTGAATTCTCTATTGCCTTGATATTTGCCTTTAAAACCTCGCAAAAAAAAAAAAAAATAAAAATATTGAAAAAAAAATCCTTTGCCCCGTACATGCCGTGGCTTAGAATTTTACTATACCTCCGAAAGACGCTCGACAAAGTTAAATATGCACACCATTTCGGAATCGATCGGCATCGATCTGAAAAACTGACCTATCTAAAGAGGATGGAAATATAATTTCCTTAGGACCATAACTGAAAGTCGTTTCTGGCAAAGTCAGCAGTCGAGGTTGGTTCGAAATTCGAACTGACATGTTCTCTCCGGCTCTGTCGGCATCTATAATGGCGTGGTTGGAGGGGCGAATCGCCTCTATGTACGACGAGCAGTGGCCTTTCACTGCCTCTTCAGTAGCCCCGCTTCACCCACATTTCCAGGCAGTGCTGGTACATCACTGGTGCTCGTAGTTGGTCGCTTATCAGAGGAGGGAGTTCTCTGAGATTCTTTTTTTACTGAGTCAACCATTCAACCGTAATGCAGTTTAACAGTAACCGGTTTTTTAAGGGGAATCGTTTAAATTTTCCATCTTATTCTCTAGCGGCTTATTGAAAGCCGAACAGAGCGACCTTTTCAAACCTCCAGCTTTGCCAATATAAATGTTACGCCATAACTCATCGCCTCAATCCACTTATTAATCTTATAAGAAATAAATCCGATTTCTTAAAATATAATTTTGTCCAAATAAAAAACGGTAATAATTTAATATATTGAATTAGTTTATTTAATTTAAATTACATCGAATTCATCTTACTAATAATCACCATCTTATCCTTGGCTGCTTTGGGCTTGACTTTGGTTGCCATTTTGTCCGTAACCCTGAGGACCCATTCCCATTCCCATTCCACCGCCCATTCCCATTCCACCTCCCATTCCCATACCACCTCCTCCACCCATATTGCCACCACCTCCGCCCATAATGCCATTGCCATTTTGTCCGTAACTTTGAGGACCCATTCCACCGCCCATATTACCACCTATTCCGCTACTCATATTGCCACCTCCTCCACCCATTCCCATTCCCATTCCACCGCTCATATTTCCACCTCCTCCGCTCATAATGCCACCTCCTGCGCCTCCTTGATATGGAGGGGGCATTTGCGGGATAGCACGTATTGATTGCTAGAATGTAATATTTAATAATATTTATTCAGGCCAACTGAGCTCTTATATTATATATGTATGTATGTCACTTACCAACATCAGCGTCAAAGTACAGCTAATCAGAGCAACTAACACTGGGAAACGCATTTTTTTGGAGCGGAAAAATCCTTCTGGACTTGTTTGAGCTGTAGTCACCTGAGAACTAGTTGCCAGCTTGCACTGAAACTTCACTATTTATAGTTCGGCTTTCAAACCAAAATTTCCGAAAGAGTAATTTTATATTTATTTTTTTGTCTTAGTCATCATGTAATTTTCGGAAATAATTATTGGTAGTAATTTGTATGACTTTTTTTTTTTTTTTTTTTTTTTAAACTGGGCTGTACTAATTACGCAGTCTAATATAAACCGTGGTTGCTAGCGGCAAAGAGCGAGTTCACTGTCCTTAATGGGAACGGCGTGCGATGATAGACGCTTCATCCTATGGGAACCAGTATCCACAACCTTATGCGACTTAATGTGGTGGACTCTTGGAAGAGCGTCGAGCTGGTCTAATCTTCTTGGAATCTGCGCCAACTCAAATAAACTGCTGAACCTGGTGACAATTGATTATAAATAAATACAAAATACCAGCTATAACGCCACCGATTTTTGACAGTGTCTCATCTAAGCCTCACGAGTAAGACTAAATTTCTAGACTTGATCATGATAACATAGTTCCAAGATTTGAGAATGTTCGTTGGCACATCAGTACACAACCGTACTCGTTACCGGCGCACTGTATCTATACATTTTTTGAGACCACCGGTCTCTGCTGAAGGTAGCCAAATATAACAAATTATCCTCAAGAAACTTACATATGATATAACTTATTCTAAGTAGACCAAGCTAACATTGGATAGTAAAAGATCACATGAAACGTATTGCCTGAAAATAAAGATATCGCCAAGATAATAGGAGTTCAGACAATCCGCACTCTGATAGAACGACTTGCGAGTTTTATATCGGAACGGACCGGATGTTATCCGCCCAAGGTCGGACTCTCCCGCAGCAACTTTCCAAAGTAAAACTCCAGGAGATACAAAAAAGGAAAAGGTGTAGGACCCGCCCGGACCTATTTTTTATATGCATCTAAACCAACTAACGTCATGGTAACTGACTCAAAGAGGTTAATAAAAGTATCGAATTAGTTGGATAATGAAGTCTTACAGTCAGGAAAATGTCACCTCACAACGGATCTCTTTCTGGCCTAAGTGAATGTGATGCCCTTTCATCTGTAGACAGTCCAAATAAACCTAACCTCATTTCTAAATTAAACGTCGCCTATAGATATTCACATTTGAGGAGCTCACAATATCATTTACATGTGCGTTCTCTACTCATCGGATGTATTGATGAACTATTTATTGGAGCGGTTTTCTACGTGGCATGCCAAAAATTCAGCAAACAACCTCGCTAGGCAAGTCAGCTTAAATTTTGCACATATTTATATAGCGAGTCGCTTGCTTCAAGGCCGACGGCCGCTCGTAGCCGCAGCTCAGGTGAACATACGCTGTAATCGGACTTCAGTGGAGCATTAAAACTAATGTGTCGGAGAAGCTCAACTGAAGCTTTCTCTCTTTTAGTCGTGTGGCAAGGCTCCGCTCGGGTTGGTTACCCCATTTGGCTCACGTTTCTAGGGGGCGCGACGTGGATGCAAGTGCGGAAATTTAGTGTAGTTACGCGACTGTAACAGGGTATCCAGAAACTTGACTACACTCCATCGAACCCCGTCAAAACTTTGAAGTCGTTGATCATTTTGTCTATCTTAGAACCAGCATTAACGCCATTAACAAGGTTAGCCGTGAAATCCAATTCTGAATTGGTCTTGCCAAGGAGTGAATAATAAGCTAAAGTTAACTCGATACGCCTGTAAATGACCAGTGTTCGGAACAATGGTTCAAGTGCGAAGAATAAGAAAGTTACGTTCCATGAGTAGATTGCGTTCGTGTTCGACAAAGTTCTTCCTGTAAGAAAACCGCACACAAGATTACGAATACTATCTACCTTTGGCTTCTAAATATCTCCTTCTTTGGCCGCCTTTTTGCCTTTTCCAACTACCAAACAACTGCTGGATTTTTAGGTAGAGCTTTTTTTCATGTCAGAAATACACTCCGAGAGCTTGACATTCTCTACCGAGGGACAATAATAATTAGAAATTTTCTCTCTGTAACTTTTGATGTTGGTCTGACCAGAATATATAGAATGTACTTAACCTAAAACTAAAAAAGGGTTAAATTCGTTGTAATTCATCGTACGAATCTTACTATAACCAAGCACCGCGCATTTCAGTTTCTCATTAAAAAAGTAAATAAATGAATAAATAACGATAAAAACTTTTTTAAATGCTTTATTTAAATTTTATTACATCGAATTGTTCTCGCATGCAATATCTCACTAACAACCTCCATCTCAGCCTTGGCTGCTCTGTCCTTGCCCTTGTCCTTGTCCTTGTCCTTGTCCTTGCCCTTGTCCTTGGCTGCCGCCTTGCCCATAATTCTCACCACCCATACCACCGCCTCCCATGCCACCGCCACCCATATTACCACCTTGAGCTGGAGACATTGGCGAAGCATGCACTGTTTGCTAGAATGAGGTTTTTATAATAAACTTTTATTAAGGATAACTCTATGGGCAATCACAGCGAACGATTTTCCAAATTCTTATAATCTTATACTTACCAATATCAGTGCCAAAGTGCAGCAAATGAAAGCTATTACCGACATAAAACGCATTTTGCTAGAGCAGAAAAATCCTCTTGAATTTGTTTGAACTGTAGTGAACTCAAAACTACCTGCCAGTTCAATCTGCAAACTCACTATTTATAGTCTGGATTTCACACAAAATTGCCAAATTCGTAATTATATAATTTTGTCTTAATCAGCATGTAATTTTGGGAAATAATTATTGGTAGTTATATTAATTTATTCTTTTTTTTGCTTTTTTTAATTAAAATGCCATAATAATAAAATAATTTTTTTTTTGAATATGTTCTTAAATCAATAACAATAATTAACTCATTGCGGTTTTTATTTCCTTAATTTATTTATTGTAATTTTTTGTAATGAAACTACGTACAGTTTACAATTTTCTATAAACAAATTTGGGTTTTTATTATTTGATTAATAAGTGCGTTTGCATGATAAGTTATAACTAAAAAGTTCATATTCGACATACTTTTAAATCTATTTTTTTTTTTGTGCCGTCCATACTTAACCCTTTTTCAGTTCTATTGTAGCTTAGGCTCGTTCTAAATGTTCTCAGCAGTTCAACATCCAAAGTTACAGCAAGAGAATTCTAATTGTTCTCGCCTCACGGCAGGATATGTCATGTCCTCGGAGTGTATTTTTTTTAGCAAGAAAATCAAAGTTCCTCTTAAAAGCCCATCAATCATTTGTATATTGAAAAAAATGTTAGATCCCTGCATTTGTTGGAAGAAACAATAAGGCGCTTTAGCGGTTAGATGCGGGTCAAAGAAGTAAACATTTAGGAGCCAAAAGTGGATTGTGTTCGTACTCTTATGTGCGGTTTTCTTGGAGAAAGAACTCCATCGAACACGAACACAATCTACACACTTGCGTAGACACCTTTTAGGCAATTATTGTCGAGTTATTAACATCACGGCAGTTATTTCTTCTTTACGCTGTTTGGCATCAATTGAAAACACATTTGCAGCCACGTTCTTCTCCAACTATTTTCTTCAACTGCTTTCGCTGGCGGTTACTGCAACGAAAACTTTCAAAGCTCGAGTATTTTTATCCATCCCTACTAAATGATCTAGCCAACGCCGCCGCTGTTTAATGATACGCTCAACAGTTCATCGTTCCATTGGCTGCAGTATTCGCCGTTCCAAGGCGCAGAAGCCGATAAATCTTACGCAGTATCTTTCTCCCGAAAACTCCTAACGCTGCCACACCATATAGCAAGACGGAAACGCTGAGGGACTTGTATAGTTTGGGTTTCGTTCGTTGAGAGAGGACTTTACTTTTCATATGCCTACTCAGTCAAAAGTGGCACCTGTTCGAAGGAGTGATTCTACGTTGGATTTTAAGGCTGACATTGTTGTTGGTGTATAATACTGTTTCGAAGTTAGACTTAGTAATCTACGAGTTTAAAGTTATGACTGTCAAAAGTGACGTGAAAGCCAAGTCGCGCGTGCGATGAGCGTTTGTTTGAAGAGAAAAGATATTTCAGATTGTCCTCGTTCACTATCCTTACGTTTCGATGCATTTACCCGTGTGGAGAAAGCAAAACTTGTTGAGACCGATGATGGCAATTATATCAGCGTAAGCCAGCAGCTATACACTCTTATAGAACCTCGCTAGTAGACAATCACGACATATCATGCCAAATATGTTTGACATAAAGCTTTCAAATCCAGCAGGCATCTAGTAAATTCCTATTCTTTGTATAAATAAATTGATAAAATGCTCGAGCTTGTTTGCAAATGTTCATAGAAAACCCAAATTAAAGCGTTAAGCGTTGCGTCAATGATTGGCATCGCGCGCTATCTTTAAATAAGCGCGCTGACATTTTGACGTTTTCTCATTTTCTTGAAGTTCGCAGCATTTAAAAAATATTTACTGAATTGAGTGCACTCATTTCAACCCAGATACAGTAAACTCTATCAACCGGGAAAGGTGTATCTCGACCAGCTGAATTAATTTTTCATACCTGTTTGCGAAAATAAAATTTGGTTGTCAATTTATTCTCGCATTTGTTTGTTCCTCTTTTTAAGTGTTTCATTCTCTCTGCCACACTTCTATTACACCTAACTTCATCCTATAACGCGCTGTCAAAATTGAAAATTCCATTTGCTCAACATTGACGCCGCGTGGTTTGGGTATGAGGATTTTTGACAGTTGTTTCGCGCCTTACGTTTCAATTTAGATATGCCATTTATTTTATACTGCGACTATTTTAGTAAATTATTTAAATTTATTTTATTTTTATTCTACTATATTTTTAGTGTTTTTTTTTACTATGTAAATATGTAATATCTTTGTTAATCCTTGGAAGCTATTAAACCTCCATAATAATGAAAAATCTGCTAGTTTTTCTCAAACTCATCTGTTTTATTGCATTAAATGTCTTTCAAAAGAATCCTTAACCTTGCCCACCGCCACCAGCTTGGCCGCCAGCACCCATATTAGCGCCCATGCCGAATCCCATTCCAGCTCCTGCTCCTGCACCGCCACCAGCGCCACCACCACCACCACCTTGTGCAGCGCGTCGTGCACGGGTCGTAAAGCCACTAGAGCCGGGCATACCGGGCATCTCCGCCTTGTGCGGCTTCTGGGCATCAGTTGAGTGCTAAGGGAATTAAATGAATAGTTTTAACAGATTTTCTAATTTAATAAAATCCTTTTTCAACTCTCCACTCACCAACATTGCTGCCAATACTGTGCACAGCAAAGCAATTAGTATTAGACTTCTCATGTTTTCAGCGAACTTTTACTCACTTCCTTGGACTGTTGTCTGTGGAATACTACCTGTGGACACTGGTACTGCTGAAGCTTTTATAGTTCCGTTAATGCAATAAAATTTCCCATAAATCTAATTTTATCTTATTAATTTCTGTGCATTTATTTTCTGTTTGTTAACAATTTATATTACAGAAAATATTTGTGATTTTTAGATAAACATGCAATGCATTTTTGCTCATATGTATGTATGTACCTGACAGATTTTGTTACCTAATTTATAATTTTGATTTATGATTTTAATTAATTTTTCAGTTTTCATACAAAACTAGCAGATTCGGCCTCCCCTTGTTGCGGCTTTCTGTATTTTCTTCAATTTTCATACAAATTGTTATTACAAAGAACGATAAAAATCATAATTCAGCATATTCTAAGTCAGTCATCAACAATTTTGATTTAACTTATTTCGTTCCTGTAAAAGATGCTCTACGGTGTGGAGGGCCAATTTTCGAAAATGTCGCGAGTGACCGTCATGCGAGCACTGTTTCGATTGCGCAGCAGCTGAAAATTGCTCAAAAAACCAGTTTGGAATCGGTTGAAAAAGGCTGGAAACACAAAGAAGCTGGTTGTATGGCTGCCACATAAGTGAAAGAGAAAAAACCGTATCGTCCGATTTTCCAGCTGTGAATCGTTAGAACACACATACTTTAGATTGTGGCTCGCCAGAAGCTCCGAAAGCTTGGTTGGTAGACTATTATGCATACAACTAAAAGCGTGTACTTCTTAACAAGTGATTGCCGTCTGTTGCTGTCTATCGCGAATGATTAGACTGGTGATTGTCGAAATGTCGATTGTCGATTGTCCCAATTTGTTGCCAAGTGGGTTTCTATGAGATAGGCATAAAGCTATAACCTTCAAAATGACAAAAAATTATCGAGCAAAACGGATAATTCTAACCATGGTAAATCAGGCCTTCAATATAATAAAAAAAATATGGTTTACTTTTTACTACTTGGCTCCAGATCCCTGGCCATCATACAAACATTTAACTAAACCGGTTGCTATTTATATTATTGTGCCATTTCTTGTAAAAAAAATCATATAAATCGAATCCTTAATATTATTATCTCAAATAGTTCAGTCGCTGGTCCGAAAATCAGCGGCCGCTGTTGGCTCGAGTTTTTGCATTCTGGAATAGATGTGTATATACTGGATGAGTGCATAAGTTCGTGCCCGATTTCAAGTGCAAACTAAAATTGAAATTTTTTGAAAAAAGCGCTTTTATTAATCAATTATGTATTCGCCATCATGTTCGGCAATCCACTCCCAGCGTTCAACCAATTTACGGACGCCTGATTCATAGAAATCGCGCGGTTTCTCGTTGAAAAAGGTGTCAAGGTGGTTTTTGACGTTTTCCACATTTTTTAAATTTTTTTCCATTCAAATTGTTCTGCAGCGATTGAAACAAATGATAATCAGAAGGTGCAATGTCGGGTGAATATGGGGGATGCGTCATGATTTCCCAATTCATCTCCTTCAGTTTGGCCAGGGTCGGTTTTGCAACATGTGGCCTGGCGTTGTCAGGATGGAAAAGAACTCCTTTGCAATTGGCCAAAATCGGACATTTTTCATCAATTGCTTTCTTCAATTCGACCAATTGCTGACAATACTTGTTGGCAGTGATCGTTTCTCCAGCTGGCAAGAGCTCAAAATAGATCACGCCTCGGATATCCCACCAAATGCACCGCAGTACCTTCATCGGATGCAATCCATCTTTCGACATCGGTTCCGCCTCTTCGTGTGCATGTTTCCATGTTCTTTTGCGTTGAACATTGTTGTACAGGATCCATTTTTCACCATCAGCCACGAGCCGATCCAAAAAAGGTTCGTTTTTGATCCGTCGAAGCAAAGAAATTGCTATTGACATACAGTCCACTTTGTGTTTTTCACTCAACTGATGTGGCACCCATGTATCGAGCTTCAAAGTGTACCCAACCTTTTTTAAACGTTGATTTGATTTGTTGACGTTCAATTCACTGGCAACCTCTTCCGTCGAAATACGTGAGTTATTCGCTACTAAAGTCCTTAGAACATCGTCATCAAGCTCAGAAGGCCGTCCACTGCGCGGTTGATCTTCGAGGTTAAAATCTCCAGAACGAAATTTAGCGAGCCAATTCTTTACTGTGCGGAGTGCTGGAGCACGGTCTAAATAAACTTCGCGAATATCTTTAGTTGCAGCGCCTACTGTTTTTCCTTTGCGGAATTCGTATAACATAATATGACACATATGTTCTTTTTCGTTGTTCATCTTCCATGCGTCTTTTCACTAAGCAACTCAAATCAAAATGAAGTTATTTTATGCTTGATTCTTTCCAACGATATATAATATGTATATATTTCTTTCACGAGCGCCACTCTCAAACGATTCGAACGGCATCCAGTGGAATCGAGCACGAACTTATGCACTCATCCAATATATAATATTCTCAAGAGATCAGTGAAGCGATTAGGCTAGAGTGCTTATTATTTGCATTTTACACTCCACCCTAGACGCTTAGGCAATGACTGCGCAGCGACAGCTTTTACGGCTCTCTTTATTTTTGGAAACAGTAAAAGGCTACACAGTGCCATATCTGGTGAATATAGAGGCGATGGCGTTCTTACTAAATTATTTTTGGCCAACAATTCACAAACAAGCAATGAGTGTAGTATTGTAATGCGTAGGCCATGAACTGCTTTCGTCTGCTTTTTACCGATTTACTTCAAGCAAACGTCGTTGAACTTGGGTAGGTAGTAGTCCTTATTGACCTGTTGACGACCTCATGATGTTGTCTGGTCGTACGTGAAGGTTACGCTTCTCGGTTTTATTGCGCTGTGCCATTGAAATCGAGGAGCGTAACCTTCACGCACGCACGACCAGACAATATCAACAGGGTCTTCTAGTTTTGTGTTTCGGTGTTCGTTCATAACCCTTTTCTTTCACTATTTGCGTTAACTGTTAAGCTTCTTACTAGTTTTTGAACAATCATACAGTGCGATTTTCTCACACTTTGCTTTTTATCGAAAATACTGTATAATTAAGTGTTCCATATCTCGTAAGTTCAGACGCAGTTGCGAAAGTGTTTGAAATTCTATCTTTGATTTTTGGAATGGAATGCAGGTCTTAATGAGACTCGAATATGGCTCAGCGTTCTACTTCGAAGTCTATAGACTCTTTTTATTTAAGCGAGAGTGGCTCTGAATAATTAAACTGTGGGGTAAAGCTCTTTTGAAATTGATTACTTACCAGTACGAAATATCCCTAGGGACAGAGATTGGCATACACACCTCAGTGGTTCTAGAACAAGCGGTTATCATAAATTAGCAATAATTCTTTCGGAGTTTTTAAAAGACATTATCAATATAATATATGCTTGTTCGTTTAGAGATCTGGCTATTTTCTATTCTATGAACGCGCGCAAAATTAAAGCTTTGAAATTCAAATGCTGTACCTAAATTTATGAAACAGATTTCCATCAAGAATTTAATCTATTTGAGAAAATTAGTATTAAATGGCGGTACATATGAGAACCTTTCAATTAAAAAAAGCTTAAGCATACGAGCTTTTTCAAAAATATCGCGAATTTTCTGTTTTTTCAAAAATTATTTAATTATGCATGAATATCTATTTTGTGCCCTTCAAAGTAATCCTCATGAGATATTATACACTTGTGCCAACGGTTTTTCTAATCTTCGAAGCACTTCAAAAAATCATTTTTTTTATCTTGTTCAGCTCCTCCTTCGATGCCGTCTTCATCTCGTCAATCGCAGCGTAACGTCGTCCTTTCATGGGCCTCTTCAGTTTAGGGAACAAGAAAAATTCACAGGGAGCCAGATCTGGGGAATACGGTGGCTGCGGCATCATTAGTGTGTTGTTTTTGGCCAAAAAGTCGCGCAAAAGCCACGATGTGTGAGCAGGGGCAATTGAGCAATTTTGGTATGAATTTCGCAGCGACCCGTCTCATGCCCAAATTATTGATAAAAATCGAATAGCACGAGCCAATCTAAATATTTAGGTCCTCAGGAACTTTTCTAACGGTGACTCGACAATTGGCCAATACCATTTTCTCCACTTCATTAATTTTTTCGTCTGTTGTTGAAGTGCTCGGGCGTCCGGCACGCTCTTCGTCGTTCACATCTTCTCGGCCTTCTGTGAACATTTTGAACACTCGAAATGGCATAAGTGACAGACATGAGCAGCAACATAACGCCACAAAAAATCGAAATTCGCGATACTTTTTAAACACACCTCGTATTATCGGCTCTTTCTTTAAGCCTTTGAATTAAGTTATTTAAATCTGAAATCTCCAGGCATTCATAGTAAATTAAAAGTCTGTCTTTTATTCCTATACTGCTCTGTTTTATTACATTAAATAATTATTTTTCAAAATATTCTTAGCGACCACCTTGCCCACCGCCACCGGCTTGACCGCCCATATTAGCGCCCATGCCGAATCCCATTCCAGCGCCTGCTCCTGCGCCACCGCCAGCACCACCGCCGCCGCCTTGTGCAGCACGACGTGCACGACCCGCAAAGCCTTTAGAGCCGGGCATACCGGGCATTTGAGGCATCTCCGGCATTTGTGGCATCTGAGCATTGGCTGAGTGCTAAAGAATTAAGAGGGAAAGTAAAATATTTTTTAACAAAATTGTAAATCCTTCAGTCTTTTATACAACACTCTTTTCCACCGCTTACCAACATTGCTGCCAATACTGTGCACACCAAAGCAATTAGTATTAGACTTCTCATGTTTTCAGCGAACTTTTACTCACTTCCCTGGACTGTTGTCTGTGGAATACTACCTGTGGACACTGGTACTGCTGCAGTTTTTATATTTCGGTTAATGCTATAAAATTTGCCATAAATCTGATTTTATCTTATTAATTTTTTCATGAATTTATTTTCAATTTGTTAACAATTAATAATAGAGAAAATTTTTGTGATTTGTTGTTAAACATGCAATGCAATTTTCATTTGATGCAACTGATAAAACGCATTAGCTGAATGGTGATTTGTGAAATTGTAATTAATATATTATACTTATTAAAAAAGTTATTCGCGATTATTCGCTGGCAGTGCTCTTTTAACTAGTTAACCAAAGTGGAACTTTGCTAATAAAATAATTGAATTTTTCACGGTGCATTTTGTACGCAACGCGTCTTTTATATTGAAATATCCTTCAAACACACCTTTCTGCGTTTTTTTATTTATTTTTTATTCAACAAACAATCCATTTTCTCGAGACATTTCTTTCAGAGTCAGTTCGTCTGTCTTAAAACAGACACTCTATATGAATAATTTGGTCAACTAATGCAAAGATCTCAACATCGAATAATAAATTAACCGATTCATTCTTTGGTGTATAATTCAACGCTTCTTGTTTTTTGCATGAAAAGTGCTTAATACCTATAATATCTATATATAATTAATTGGTCTATTAGTGAACGAGGACAAAACGAAATATTGGATGAGTGCACAAGTTCGGGCACGTCCGCTGGATGCCGTTCGAATCGTTTGAGAGTGGCGCTCGTGAAAGAAATATATACATATTATATATCGTTGGAAAGGTGACAGTCCGAACTGTAAATCAAGCATAAAATAACTTCATTTTGATTTGAGTTGCTTAGTGAAAAGACGCATGGAAGATGGACAACGAAAAAGATCATATGCGTCATATTATGTTATACGAATTCCGCAAAGGAAAAACAGTAGGCGCTGCAACTAAAGATATTCGCGAAGTTTATTTGGACCGTGCTCCAGCACTCCGCACAGTAAAGAAATGGTTCGCGAAATTTCGTTCTGGAGATTTTAACCTCGAAGATCAACCTCGCAGTGGACGGCCTTCTGAGCTTGATGACGATGTTCTAAGGACTTTAGTTGCGAATAACTCACGTATTTCGACGGAAGAGGTTGCCAGTGAATTGAACGTCAACAAATCAACTGCGTTTCGTCGTTTAAAAAAGGTTGGGTACACTTTGAAGCTCGATACATGGGTGCCACATCAGTTGAGTGAAAAAAACAAAGTGGACCGTATGTCAACAGCAATTTCTTTGCTTCGACGGATCAAAAACGAACCTTTTTTGGATCGGCTCGTGACTGGTGATGAAAAATGGATCCTGTACAACAATGTTCAACGCAAAAGAACATGGAAACAGGCACACGAAGGGGCGGAACCGATGTCGAAAGGTGGATTGCATCCGATGAAGGTACTGCTGTGCATTTGGTGGGATATCCGAGGCGTGATCTATTTTGAGCTCTTGTCAGCTGGAGAAACGATCACTGCCAACAAGTATTGTCAGCAATTGGTCGAATAGAAGAAAGCAATTGATGAAAAACGTCCGATTTTGGCCAATCGCAAAAGAGTTCTTTTCCATCATGACAACGCCAGGCCACATGTTGCAAAACCGACCCTGGCCAAACTGAAGGAGATGAATTGGGAAATCATGCCGCATCCCCCATATTCACCCGACGTAAATTGGTTAAACGTTGGGAGTGGATTGCCGAACATGATGGCGAATACATATTTGATTAATAAAAGCGATTTCTTCAAAAAATTTCAATTTTAGTTTGCACTTGAAATCGGGCACGAACTTATGCACTCATCCAATATCTCCGGTCAACTAACAAACAGTGAACGCATTCGTAACTCGGCTCCCACGTCACTCTTGACATTGATAACCTCGCGGTCGTAGATAATTTCCTCTATTCTTGGAATGAGTAGGCAATTTGAAAAGTAAAGCCCTCACAAATCGCTCATTTCTCCCATCCTACTATATTTCGCAGGGGGCATGGACCATGTTGAGTCGGCTTTAGAAGTTTTCGCGTGAAATGTTTTACGTAAGATTTATGGTCCTCTGCGGGTTTTGTACGACGATTCCTACGCCAGCAAAAAAGGAAGAAGATTTAACGATGCCATTTCAAATGTTTGGAATATATAAATTTTCTTCATCGATTTTTCGTTTAGTAAAATTTATGCACCTCAGTACTTCCTTGTGCCCTAAAAGTTGAATACTCTATTGACATTACACACCTGGGTGAAGGGCAACTAGTACTACTGTTAGAGATTCCCTTCCCAGATTTGGTGACTTAAATTTAAAGACATTAAGTTCAGTATTTATGTACATTTCTATTTTATTTTTGAGGTTAGGGCTGGTTGCTTTGCATGACATTGCATCATATGAGAGTACGGATTTAGTAAAAAAGAAACAAAATTCCTTGAAGCGATTTTTGACGTTCTCCTCCTTCAATTTGTCGTTAGGCGTCTTGATGTTTTTCCAAACAAATTGAAGGACCTACAGTTTATTCCAAGTCACCTCCGATCTGCCGATGGTTTCTTATAAGGAGTCTTTATTTCATGTCAGAAGTACACCCGCAGGTGTTGGCATTCCTTGCCGTTCGACTGTAATAAGAATAATTAATTATCTGTAAATTTGTATGTAGACCAGCACTCGAAATCTTGTCATTCGAAAGTTCGTATGCCATGCTAAGCACTCAGCCACTGCGGCGACACTTATGTTAGTTCAAAACAACTTTTCTAAGAAAGAAAATCCAAATTTTATTTTACAAGAATTAGCCAAACTGCTTCGCTCTTCACAGGTCCTGTAATGCTTTTAATACTACTTTCGCCATAAATTAGAAAATACTTTTTAACACAAATAATATTAAACAAATCTAGAATTTTAATATAGAATTATATTAATATTTTATTGAATTAAATATTTTTAACAATATTTTTAACGACCCCCTTGTCCACCACCACTTCCTTGCCAACCGCCACCCATATTAGCGCCAACGCCAAAACTTATTCCAGCTCCTGCACTACCACCAGCCTCACCGCCACCTTGTGCAGCACGACGTGCACGACTCATGATTCCTTTAGCACCAGGCATAAGTGGCATTTGAGCATTAGACGAGTGCTTAAAGGACATCAAAAATAATAAAATAGTTGATAAAAATTTTAAATTATTTTCCATCTCACCAACAAAGCTGCCAATATAGTGAAAACCAACGTTATCCATATTAGTGTCCTCATGTTCCAGAGAAAATTCTAGCTGCCTCTATTAGACTATAATCAGAGTTATACTATTTGCTTGGGTTTGTTAGAATTGACGCTTTTTATAGTTTGATTAATGAACTACCTACATACATATGTTTACACCGTTAGAAATTTATCTAAATCTACGCAAATTGAAATTGTTTGGTATTTGTAATGGGAAATCGAAGTTGACACGCAATACTGTTATTGTGCCATTTGTTTCAATTAATTACCAGGAGATCTTGTTGAAACTGTGCGCTGTTTAGTTTTCAAATATTGCCTGAGTTAAAAAAATCCAAAAAATAAAAAAAATTAAATATGAAAAAGTACGATACCAAAACCTCACAAAAACACAATAAAAAGACTCAAAGGAAAGCAAAGGGAAAACCTGGCAATCCTGCTGCTCAGCGATTTCTGTCAGACTTAGTAGAAGCTTGTCCAAAGAATGATATAATCCAACCTATATTCGGTGCTTGAACAATCCGTACCGGCAAAATCCTTGAAGCGTTCATGAAAGTATATTTGACGTGTTCTCAACAAACAATAGCACAGAAGGACAAGCATGATCACTGCCGACTTCAATATACCAATCTAATCTGATCGTGACAATAAAAATATCTATGCAATTATCAGCTTCATAACGTTTGAAGACTGGGCTAAATGAGATTATCACTCTAACGCTAATGCTGCAGAAGCTAAAGGAATCAATGGTTCAATAGCTGACAATGATCCATAAAACCAGTGAGATCCATAAGCCTTACGTACTTCTCAAAGAAGATCTGAAAATCTTTGAATATACGAAAAGTCAGCAAGCATTTTCCAAGCAATAGTATTATGTTTACCCGCCGACCTGTAGAGCACTATTGAGGGACTACCTGAGGATAGAGAAAGCAACTGTAAGTCACCAGTGATATATTCTGCAGCAATTATAGGAAGGCTTTAAGCTCGCTGGCAGATCAACTTGACATCTTCTTAGTCTGGCTTCCCGGCCATAGATACATTTTAGGTAACAAAAAAGCTCTCGAGTTGGTCAAGTAGGAATTATCTCTTGACGTAGCTGTAGCAGAGTTAATACCGTGTCTGTTGGGAATGAACAGGAGAAGGCTTCACATGCAATTTGAATAAACAGCATTAATTAGATTCAAATCCATAACCAAATTTAAGACAAAAAGTAGATTTGACCCAACCGTGAGAAGACAACAAGAAAAGTCCAGCTTATGTGTAGGGAAAACCTAGCCACAGCCGGCAATCATCTAAAACAACGTCCAGCAACAGGAAAATAGCTGTTTTGGCGTGTTCCAACCAGAAAGAAAGAGAGGTGAGATGAGTAGGTTTTAGGGGCATACAAAGAGGTAGCTTGTGCTGTAAGTGGCCACATTGCATGCAGTGTAAACGCAAGATATATCGGGTTGAAGTCTGGATAGGTAGGAATTAAATCTCTCGAGGCATTACAGGGTTCTCTCAGGGCATTACTCGAATCTCTCAAAGCATTGTTCGGGTCTCTCGAGGCATTACTCTAAGCTCTCGAGAGATTCCACGGTTCTCTCGACGCAGCTCGAGCTTTTCATCTGCAGTAAGTGATGCTTGACCTCAATCCTTTGGAAGAGAGTTCATGATTAATTCACTGTGAATGGTACGCCGCCCTGCTCAGTGATTCTTATCTTTGATGCTAAATAGACTCGTTATAGTCTAGTACTCCGTGCATGGGTGAAGTTTTAGACACAAATAAATGCATCCGACCGGGCGACCGCCTTTGCCATTTCCCCACTTGTTGGTGGCTAAAGATTTGAAGGAGTGCAGGCTGTTAAATTTGACTCCCATTAACTCTGGGTTTTTTAATTATTGGAATCTTTACGTTACGACTGTCACATCGAGTTCGAATCGGTACGCCAAATCCGTGAAAAGGTTAGCCGAGGTTTTTGCAGGTTATAGTTGTTGTGCAGTGAAAAAATGGGGAAAGGTTGGAGAGATAGCACTTTACTTTCGAACATAAGCTATCAATATCCTGGTCAGTCGCCAATATCGAGCAATCATCGGCATATGAGATCAATGTAAGGCACTCTGGGGTAGAGGAGACAGCTTCGAAATGTATAAAATTAGGTTTAATGAGTTTGATCTCGAAATTCTGCCGATTGCCAACTACTCCGGTTAGCCTATGGTGCACCTAGTCAACACTGGCGGTAATGTGGAATCCGAAAAATTATTCCCATTTTTTGTTCTCAAGAAATGCTACGTTGATCTAACGGCTAAATGAACTGTAACTACGTCTCACCCAGTCTTATTGCATCATCTATTACAACCGCTATTTCTTCTCTCTTTTTCGAATTGCATTTTATTGAATTCTCTTTTACTTACTTTTCACACGTCAAAACGTCTAAAAGAGATTTGTCAGCGTTTAGAGTCTTAAATTATAAAAAAAAGTAAAAATTAAAACCGTTATTTATTGAATTTGTTTTTGATTTTTGTGAGCTTAAATTTCTAGTTTGTCTTGAAAATTTCTGCCGTTAATTACTTCATCATTTACATATGTATGTGAACAGTATGCAAAATTTTAATGAAAAAATAAAAAATCTCTGAATAAAATTTTCCATAATTATTTTCGAAGGTGTCACCATTAAACAAACTCAGTTTATCTAAAACTTAATTTAAACAAATTTGTTGACAATTTCTATTGAACAAATGCCAGATACCGATCTCGTTAGTAGAAAAGCATGAATATTTGTATGAAACACGAAAGCGATGGGACTTCATTATTTATAGTATGTTTTTCAATTACTATTATTAAATAAGTAGTTATAAAAAAAAATCAACTAAATTACGTAAAGACAATGTAAATTTTTATTTTTTATTTGCTATTTTTTTGTTAAACACGAAAATAGAGAGAGCACTGAAGCAAAAAGAATACGCTTTCGGGGTCTTTCTAGACCTAAGTGGGGGCATTTAATAATGTCTAAAAGCAGCTTGGGTAGAGTCTACAAACCCACTATGGTTAAAAAGTCTGTTGAACTAAGGTAAGATTAAGGCGGAGTAGAATGAAGCCCGACTGCTCAGGTTAATGCATAGAGGCACACCTAAGGGTGGTGCTCCGTCACAACTCCTTTGGATACTCGTCGCAAATGAGCTTCTTAGAAATGTCGAGGGAAAATCACACCAACTAAGTGCCTTTGCGGACGTCATCAGTAACGTAATTGAAAAAGCTCTTAGGTTCGATGGGCGGCTTCAGCCAACTTAGATGTAAATGCTCACCAAATGGATACGCTACTATTCGAAATAAGGTACAAAATCTACGCAGGAAAATTCCCAACATCCAAGGCGGTGGACCTATCAATCAAGAATCACACCCGGTAGCTTGGACAACAAGCTTCATTGAAAGGTGAATGTAAAGGAAAATGTAAAACTGTGCCCTTTATGCACACCCATGTGGCTATCACATGGGGTCTATCCACTGGCCTCATGCATTGGTTATACACAGCGATGGTTAAGACGATATTAAGCTACAGCGCTCCGGTGAGGTGGACCGCTGCTAACGAGCATAAAAACCCACTAGAGCGGCGATTGCAGCGGCTCGCTTCGCAGTGTTTAAGATCATCACCAGCACCAATCGGCATCGCAGCGGAAAATGCTGCAGAGAAATCAGCCATGAGACAGATTGGCGCCAGAGTCTGTACCACGAAACTGGACTTCAGACAATCCTTTAAGCTTGCAGAGCACTACAATATAATCCAGGCGGCAGCTGAGATGGCTAGCAACGCCGTAAACTACATATCGACAGTCAGCCGGCAAATAGGACAATAATCTCACACCTTATTGTGTCAGAAAATGTCCTTAGAAGCCGGGAAAAAGTGGCCAGGGCGGCTGAGGGAAAGCTCTGACTACTGGTTTTCAGGTCACAAGGGTATTATGGTACAGGAAACACAAAGTTCTTGCTAACGACCTACATTGCAATTTCCGAAGAGCCGGGCGCCGGATCAGACTGAGATGAAACGCATTAGTGTCATGCAAAACCCTCGAGATCATGCGCAAGAGCAGCAAAGGTAACACCCATTCCTTGCTTCAAGTGAAGAGTGTCGGATAGTTGCAGGCCTAATGACGGGCCACAACCCTTTGGCCTCACATGTAAGCAGATTGGGTATTAATAGCAGTGATGTATGCAGTAAGTGCAGGGGGAAAGGTATGAGTGGGACGTGAAAGTACCTACTCTGTGTATGTACGGTCCTCTGTGTATGTTCGGTCTTGGATAACTCGGGGCTTCGCAGTTTTAATTGCTAGAACAGGCTTCAAAAGTCGATATTAAGGCTCTATTGAACTTCGTGAAATGCATTGACGTCTTATAATGTGACTATTTGAGATAGCAATAGAACGAACCTCCCTTTGGGCCGGCCAGTGTATCTGACCTTTCTTTTTTTTAAATAAATAATTTATTTAATTTTTATATATTTTTATAATATTTATTTCATTTTTTATTTATATATTTACATATGTTTATAATATATTAATTAATTTTTATTTTATACTTCTTCCAGGAACAACTCGGCTATATAGTATTCAGTGGCATACGTAAAGTAAATGGCGCTAACGGTATACGCATTATAGTACAATCCTCAAAGCATCCATCGTTTGTGGAGGATCGCATTGAGGCCTTCTTGGAGAATTATTTGGTATATATAAAAGTTTAAAATTAAAAAAAAAATCTTAATATTTAAGTGATAAATGAAATTGAATTAATTAATTTAAAAAAAATTAATAAAATTTTATTAAATGCATTTAAAAAAATATATATATTCTTTTTTTCCTATAGAAAACCATGGAAGAAATGCCTCTGGACGAATTTGAACGTCACAAAGAGGCTTTGGCACTGAAGAAATTGGAAAAGCCTAAAAATGTTACACAACAATTTCATCAATTCTACAATGAAATTGCCGTTGCGCAATATCATTTCGAACGCGATGAAGCGGAAGTGGCAATTTTGCTTAAAATTACTAAGGAAGAATTTTTGGAATGTTTCAAGGTAAGTTGTCAGAGGGGAAAGCAAAAAATTATAAGAGGAAATTTTAGACTTTTTACAATATTTTACTTCGAATTCATCAAGTAAGAGGGTGTTTTTGTTAGACTTGTGGTTTAAAAAAGAAAGAAAAGGCATGTAATTCAATATTATCACTTTATTATAGAGATAAGGGTTTGCCATTATGTCTTAAAAAGATCCAAGTGTTTAACGCGGCTGGTTCGAACGAAATTTCAGCCGGGAAAGCCAATTTTTGACCACTCTTTACAACAATTATGATCGTATGTCAGCAATAACGGTCCGAATACTCTCTTCCAAAACGTCAAACGTCTCAGGTCTATCTGTCTGACAAGCGACTTCACATAACCTCACAAAAATTAGTACAGAGTTAGTAAAATCGCACGATTTTGGAGGCCATAACACAGATCTACAAGGCAAGTTGAAGCACTCACCAAAATTTTCCTGCAATTAATGAAATGTTTCGTTGGCTGTATGACATGCAGCGCCGTCTTGTTGGACGCAAAAGTCGTCCACATCAACATCAACCAATTCAGGCACGAAAAGGTCTTTAATTATGGCTCTATAGCGTTCCGCATGCACTGTGACATTATGGCCGGCAACACTTCTGACTTTCTCTACACACCAAACAGTGACTTTTTGATTATGTAACGGCCTCTTAACAATGACTTGTGGACCATCAGTACTCCAAATGCGCGAATTTGGTTTATTCACGTACCCAATCTAGCCTCACTGAACTTTGTTGCTCAACATAATCTTCTTGCAAAAATTGGGAACGGGGGCGATCTCGTTTTTGACACATTCTCCGAACGAACGTTGCGCTGGTTGGTCGTTCGGCTTCAATTCTTGCACGAGTTGGATTTTGTAAGCCAGCAAGCCAAGATCCTTCCTCATATTATTCCCTAAAGTGAATGGACACAGCTACCATTGTTGGTGGATGGACTCATACGCGTCTTGTTCGATACATTGCTTCACAGCTGCAATAATGTATGCGCTTGCTTGCTGTGGATGTGCAGTATCTATTGGTGTAAGAATGCTGCGTTTAAACGTTACTCGAATTACCGACTCTGGTGTGTGATTATGTCGACTGAATACTGGACGCGTTGCGAGAGCCAACCATTATTTTGGTAGTAAATATGCAAGATTTGCAAACGTTCTTCCGGAGAAAGTCCGACCATTATGGAATAGCAAACCAAACGGAGTTTAAATCACATAACAGCTTTCAAAACCAACCAACTACGAATAAAAGTATGGCCTCATTGAAAACTACATGTCTGAAAGAAGACGAACGCTCTTTATTTTTTACGAAAGTCTTCATAACAACAACAACAACTTATTTAAATTTTTTAAATACCACATTTAATAAAGCCTCATCTTTCTCTTCACAGAATTTCATTGCTCGCGATGGCCCCGAACGCCGTGTACTCGCCGTGCATATAATCTCCGAACAAGAAAACCAACAAGACAACAACACCGAAACCCCAGAGGAGGAAGTTGTCATTACGAATATGGATAGACATGAGAAAATCGCCGATTTGGAGACATTCAAATCGAGCAAAGAATTATATCCGATTTGTTTGCCCGTATTGGATATTAAAGCGAAGGGAGCGCGTAGTAAATTGTAAATAATAAATATTTTTAAAGCGTAAAAGAATATGAAAAAAATATAAAAAATAAATAAACAAAATGACACTAATTTATGTACACCAATTTATGGTTAAATCGATTGCTTGAAATATAAAAATATAAAAATATTAAAGAAAATTAAAGAAAATTAAAACTAGACCAAGCAAAATATGAAACAAATCAGGACAAAGAAAACTTTCATGAAATTTACTTTAACTAAGCGTGTTGCATTAGTAATTTTACTGTACATACACATACATAATATATATGCAAATGTACTTTATATAATTACATACGTACATACATGCATATATAATACAATATTAGCCCCATCAGTTGATAGATTTCGGTTTGAATTCATTGTTTTTTTCATAATTTTTATTCACCATTTAAAAATGTACCTCCGTAACGGCACTTTGCTTTAAATTAATTAAATTTTAATAAAACAATAAATAATTGTAGCGAACATTTTCATTAAGTTAATCGCTTTACAAATTTAATAAAAAAATAATATATTTATATGCAATTATTAAAGATAAATGAAACGTCAATCGACTTATTCAATGGTATACACTTACATATATGTAATTAAAGCAAAAAAAAATACAAAATAATAATAACAATAATAATAATGCAGATTATATATGCCGTCATGATGCAGTTATAAATAAAGAAAAATTTGTATTAACAAAGAATCGTTTTTTATAAATGGACTCTTAAGTAATGCGCTATTCGGTATGAGAAACCCGCTGTCGAGATTGTAGAGCTCTTGGGAAATTAAATCCTTTGAACGTTGATTTTGCTGCAAGAAAGTGAAAAAAGAAAATAATAAAAAAATGATTGAAGGAAATGAAATATAGAAAATTTATTAATTTATTAAGAATTTATAAAGCCGGCGCCTAGCTAAGGCTTAGCTAGCTAAGGCTTAGCTTAGAATCACCCATTAGTCCTTTTCCTTTTGCCTTACAGTTCAGGGCTGCTGGAGAAATGCGCCCAAAAACGGTCACGCACTACTGCAGGGTGTAAAAAGAACTGAGCTCATTAGAAGATATGCAGTCAGGGGGTAACCACTGCTGTATTTAACGAAACCTTGCCTCACCGATTTGAATCAGTTGGTAATTATTGCCTTATTGGGGCAAGCGGCGCAATTGCGATGGACTTCGGTCGCTACTTTGACCATTGCTTCAGCTGAATCGGACAGGTGATCATGCAAAAAAGGTGAATACACACTTAAACAAGAAAAAGGAAGGAAGAGGAGGAAAGCGGGAAATGAGGTCGGCCACTAGAGTAGCGTAGACACTGATGAGACAAGCATAACTTTGAGGGTTTGGGACTCAAAAATGTATGGTAAGGCATCTATTTCGTAAGAATATTTCCTTCGATGTCGTGTCTTTATAACGGAACGACCCGGATTTTTATCCAAAGCCAAAGACTGTCATTCCCGGAAACCAACTTTTACGGTTACTATAGCAACAACGAAGGAAGTATCACATTCGACTGCGGACGCCCCGCAGCCATTGGTCACTAAAGTCAAGAGCCGCAACCGCCGGCGCCCTCGAAATGCTTCACAAAAAAAAGTGGAGTAGAGTCAAATAAAACTCAACTTTCGACACCAGCGCAAGGGTTATACAGGGACTAAATATTGTAGTTGATGTAACGCCGCAACGCCCTGAGAGAGATACGAAAAAAATAAATAAGGCACAATTCCTGGGCGAAAGATACAATGCAATCAACGCGAAAGCATCGAAGAGAGGCATGCGAAGGGCGTGTTTAAGAAGCAGCGTACGCTAAACATGGCGGCGAGAGGTCATTCATTTGAAAGGCAGTTCAGAGCCGGAGCTGGGCCTATAACTTTATCTGCGAAGTTAAGTGAGGTAGCCAGCAAAATGGAAAGTATAGAGACCAGGTCATTTCGAGTGGTTGCGGTATAAATTCCCAACTATCGTGGATACTACGTGATTTTAGTGGGCCCTTAGGACAGACATGCCAGGGTAAATTCTTTAATTCCTATTCCGCTGGGTATGCATTTGTACCTTAAAGGCAATCGTCCGATCATCGGGGACTTCGTCATATTCACAAGCAAACCTAGAGTTCCACGTTGCACCAAACGAAAGCATGAAGAGACTACTTAACTGAAGAAACTTAGCAATATATACATTTCCTTGTGCTGGATAGAAAGTTTTCGTAGAGACTTTTTTTGAAGTAGTTGGAGTTTGGAGATCGAAGAAGGCATCCTCAGCCCTATATGTAAGTGTTCTTTTACTTTCTAAGAACTACAACAGAAGCCGAGAAATGAAGCAAAACTCTCAAGTTTTCAGACAAAGCTCTGCATATCATTAGATGAATGGATGAACGGATTAAAGCATGAGCTCTCCCTAAACAGTACGTAGTACCTAACCATGAACGTACTAGTCCCATTAAGGGAAATAAAAGCTACGCTTTAGTAACAAAAAACGGCAAAGCCCACTACCTACATATATACTAGCAACAATGCGGTCAGCAACAATGGGATGAAACTTCAAACTGCTGCGAGATCTGTTAGCAGAGCAAAACCTACTGCTGTCGCATAGTTTCAAATTAAGTCAAGTTGAGGAAAATAAAGGCAGGATATACAGTGTCGCAGTGCAGCAGACAGATGACGGTCTCCCCCTTGGCAAGGTTGAACTGCAGGAACTTCGATCCTAAGCACCTGCCTCAATTTGCTGAGAGAAAAGCAATGCCCTTCAAACGAGCAGCTCAGCTGTATATGGTAATACTGTGGAAGTAAAATCATCTATGTTTACCTTAGTAGCCGACCAGCTCAGCCATAATTAAGCTATAGATACAGCTTTTATTGGTCAAGCGTTTTTATTTGAAAATTTTTCATTTTATTGAGATACTTTTCTGCCCACTCAAAACACATACCTGATTGAGCACGGATATTTTATGCTTGAAACTGATTTTGTCATTTGCGATTTCTTTGAATAAACCGCCCATATCGATGATAATATTATTACGGTTCTTACTTCTCGTCTTCGCCTGTGTGAGTTGCAGATAGAGGAAATCGCGATTCAGGTGCTGGAAATCGGCTACCAGATGCAGAGGTTTGCCTAAAAAAAATAAATAAAAAATATATAAAATAATATGAAAAGGAAATTTCAATTCTTTTTAAGAACTATTTAATTGATATAAAGAAAAATTAAAATTCTTTTGAACTCACCTTTTATTGAGAATATCGGACTCTCCACCAACGTACTGTGACCGCTCTCAATGCGTGCGGTGAAATTCTCTAATTTCCAATAGTAAGTGAACACCTTCAACTCACTGTCACTCAGCATTGTGTTATTGAATTTTCTTATCTCCTGCAAAAGCTCACTGGGGACAGACGCTGATTGACTCTTTGGGTGAACTGACTTGAGCTGTGGTAGTTTCTTGGGTAATGGATCTTCTGCTTCTATACCAGCCGAGGATTCCTCATATTCGTAACTCGCCTCAGCTGAGGTGTCGAGTGCATTACTTTTAGGCTCAGCAATAGGTTGGAATAACGGTTTGGCAACTGTTGTTGGCTTGCTGCTGGGCAGATGCTTGTGTTGTGCCAGCCGTGTTGCTGTGACCTGCGTTGTTGGTGGTGGTGGTTTTGTAGGCGTTGCGGCAACCAGTGGTGTTAAGGGCGTGGTTGTTGCAATCGGTGGACTCATTGGTCTTAATAATTGGGGCGCATTTATGCCCTGTTGTTGCGCGATGTATTGCAATAATGTTTTTATTTCCTGTAATTCTTTATAGAGTTTTGCTTCCAAGTCACTGAAGGCCAATTTCAACTCAGCTGTGGGGAAAAATGTTGATTATTTTTTATTAAAAAAAAAAAATAATTATAATCAAAGCCTTGTACCTGAACCACAGACACCCTTCAGCTTCTTTGTAGTCACTGCTTCAGCGCTTGCGCGCACTTCACCAGCGGTGACGGTGCAAACAGCTTTCTGTATTTCACTGGGTTGCTTGTCATCAGCATCTTCGCCACTAGGAGTGTCTTCTATGTAGCCTACGGTATCGTTGGCGTAACCTAAAAAGAGGGTTGTTTTAAATTTCAGCCAGCACTACAAGGAATAAACACATCCGGTAAACTGTAGCTGTCAGCCAGTACAACATAGCCTCAATATTTTAACCTTTCTCTAATTTGCCACTACTAAGAAAGATGGTCCTTTGCGCATTGGTAACGGCACATACCGTAGACGATGGAACGATGAGCTATACGAGCTATGGGATGATATTGACATAGTTCAGCGAATGAAGAGACAGCGGCTGCGCTGGCTAAGTCATGTCGTCCGAATGAATGAAAACACTCCACCTTTAAAAATATTCTATGCAGTACCCGCTGGTGGAAGCAGAGAAAGAAGAGGAAGATCTCCACTCCGTTGGAAGGATCAGGTGGAGAGTGACCTGGCTTCACTTGGTATTTCCAAGTAGCGCCAGGCAGCGAAAAGAAGAGAGGAATGCGGCGCTAAGATTAATTCGGCTATAGCCGCCAATAAAGAAGAATAAGAAGAAAGAAGATAGCTTTTACATAACAGCCGAAAATTTTCGACCGTCTCATCGGAAACCAAAATATGCTCGTAGTTGCCTGCCAAAAAGTTTCCCACCCAACTGACTTACCGTGAATAAAGCACGCCTCTGAGAAGCGAACAACACTCATCAACAATCAAAGGAAAGGTTCAACAGCCAAGCAGTTTTCTGCTATATTTACACTTCTCTTCTGCTGAATATGTAAGGGAATTGTAGGACATCACTTCAAGCTTTCCTCCTACGTAAGGTAACCAAAGAACAAATAAGTTTTCAACAAAAGAAGATGAAGAACAAGGTAAAATAAGAGATGCGGCTCTTTAGAAAAAGAGAAAAAGGATTGCTAATTTCGCAACATTCCGAACGGGGTCTAAGCATATTCAATGGAAAGACACCGAGTTTTGAAGAGTAAAACGCAACGTATTTAAGCTAAAGATGGAAATGTGCTATCATTCAGAGCTTACTAAGTTTGTGGAGGGAACACCTCTCCATTCGCCTTAACTGAAGAACAAAGAATAAAAGAATAAGACACCGGGAAGCGGGTGAACCCAACGCCTCTATTGATGAGGATGGATGTTTTGAATAACGATTGCATGCCTGAAGAATAGCAAAGCGGTGAGAAGGGACGATTTACCGGCTGAGCTATGCAAATAGGCGTCGGACAACAGCAACAGCTCCTATGGAGAATATGCTGGGATGAAAAAATGGCTGAGGATTAAAATGTAAGTGTTCACTGACTCTCCTTGATCGCCCTTTAAGATACTGAGTGAAAGACTATAGACTACACTCAACAAACTCTCCAGACCTGAACAGAGTGGCTGGAGACCTAGTACAACCATCATCGAACCAACTTTCGCTCCTTCCGTACCATCTATTTATTTACGATTCAAAAAAAAAACTGAATAATTTGCTATAAAGCCTGTGTTATAAAATTGTTAGGGAGGAAATCGAAAAGTAATAAAAAAAACTGTTACCCAAACACAGGGTTTTCCATAAAGAGGTGATATTTTAATATTCAAAGAAAAATTATATTTTTTGAGATAAACGATAGGAAGTTCATTTCAATGTAAAGAGGAAATTATGACATTAATAACAGTAAAAAATTTTCAGTAAAATTGCCGCCACAGCACCGGTGACAGGACCATATCCTTTTTATGAAATTTTCTATGACCAAATCAGAAAGTGGCTGCTGTATCCCTCAATAGTTTCGCAAATTTCATCTTTGAGGTCTTGAATAGACGTGAGCCTAGTGGCATATAACATATCTTTCCCGTGGCCCTAAAGCACGAAGTCGCTCTGAACGTAAGCTGCACCAAACACCTACACGATGGCACAGGTTTCTGATTTTTGAATTATTTTTTTTTGCTGAAGTTCCGGATTGTTCTCATGAATTTCAAGGGCCCAACTGACAAGGGCGTGCCGTTGTTGATAATCAGCCGGCTTGAGCTCTTGTATCGACTGAACTTTATAAGTCTTAAGACGCAAGTCCAACAAACGACGATGAATGTACAATTCTGGCTTTTCTTCAAAACTTTGGGCTAAAGCGGCAAAGTTCTGAATTGTTCTTAAGCGACGGTCACGTGTTTTATTCTTTACATCACTAACTTGTCTCAACGACTAAATTTTTTCACCAATTTCTCTATTGCAGTCCGACAAGGTGCTGCGCGAAGACCGAAAAATTCATGAAAAAGTGGAAAGAAGAAATCTCTGATATGTAGACAGTGGCACACGGGGAGTGGACTCTGAGGTGGTCACCAAATTTGAGGCCTTCAACCTGTTTCCACTTCCCTAGAGTTTAGACGCCAACGAAGGACGACTTAAGCTCATACCATACAGTTGTAGATCAGAGTTGCTTCGAAGACTGTGACAAATACTGGTGCTAATGTAACAAAATCTGAGGAAGGAATCCATTTAAGGGGGCAAAACATATAATTTTTTTTTTCATCAAAATGTAAAAACACGTTATTCTTTGAACAGACCTCGTATACGAATTAATAATACCAAATCTCCGAATCCAAACAATAGTAAACTACGATTTCCAAACAAATAACAACCAATACAATCATTTCACATTATCTATTCCTTAATTCTATTGCTGTTTCTACTTTCACATACATACATACATACATAAGCATTAGGCTCATCTCTTTATATTTTTACCTACTCCATTTGGTTGTGTTGATGTTGTAAAATTTTCTGCAGCTGTTAATGTGTCTGCTGCCAATGATGATGATGACGACGACGGCGACGTTGCCGCCGCAGGTGGCTGCTGATGAACGGCACCGGTAGCAGTTGTGGGTGCTGATAGCGGTATAGCGGGTAATGCTGGATTATATGGTTGCTGTTTTTGTAGTTGTGTTGCTTGCTGTTGATATTGTTGTAGTTGTTGTAATTGTTGATGATACCACTCATTCTGTCGCTGTGGTAGTTGTTGCAGTTGTTGTGGCGCATAAAACACTTCCTGCTGTGGCAGTGGCTGTTGCTGTTGTAATTGTTGTAGTTGACTTTTTGGTGTGCCGTTTGCAACGACAAAGTTGACATTAGAATTGTTGGCCATAAATAATAGCAATGGCAATAATAATAAACGGGCAAATTTTACAGCATTTATCATGGTGGTTGGTTGGGTGTTGTTGTAGTTGTTGGCTATGATGACATGTGCAATATGCGTAAATAAATATATGTGCGTGTTTGTGCAATTTGCAAAATGCGCTGCTAAGTGATTTCTATTGAAATGTATTTCTTGTTATTAAATCTGTTAACATACAATATTATATATTTTATTTTTTACTAATTTCATTTAATTATACTATAATTTTTATTTTGCTTCTATTTAATTGAGTGTTTTTTATTTTTGTTCTATTTTATGTTATATTTTTCAATTTATTATTTATTATTTATTATTATTATTATTACGATTATTATTTATTAATTATTATTATTATTATTTATTATTATTTNTTTATTTTATTTTATTTTATTTTATTTTATTTTATTTTATTTTATTTTATTTTATTTTATTTTATTTTATTTTATTTTATTTTATTTTATTTTATTTTATTTTATTTTATTTTATTTTATTTTATTTTATTTTATTTTATTTTATTTTATTTTATTTTATTTTATTTTATTTTATTTTATTTTATTTTATTTTATTTTATTTTATTTTATTTTATTTTATTTTATTTTATTTTATTTTATTTTATTTTATTTTATTTTATTTTATTTTATTTTATTTTATTTTATTTTATTTTATTTTATTTTATTTTATTTTATTTTATTTTATTTTATTTTATTTTATTTTATTTTATTTTATTTTATTTTATTTTATTTTATTTTATTTTATTTTATTTTATTTTATTTTATTTTATTTTATTTTATTTTATTTTATTTTATTTTATTTTATTTAAATTTATTTTATTTTATTTTATTTTATTTTTTTTTATTTTGTTTTATTTTATTTTATTTTATTTTATTTTATTTTATTTTTTTACTTTTCTTAATTTTATTTCATTGTATTTTCATTTTATTTAATTTACTTATTTGGTTTTACATACATTGTATATATATATATATAATAGCTATTCGCCAAGTTGTCTGCTACAGTCCGTTAGTTAGTTACGATTTCACCTTGAATAAATATTTCTTCTTTTAATTGCTGTTATTTCTAATTATTACTCCTTTAAGTATTTTATTTTAATACAGTAATCTTTTTTTTTGTATTAGTTTCACTTATCAACCTTTTTCAGTTTAATCACGTATCTAGAAATGTCTTAATCACTTAATTTATTACAACTGATTTATTTTGAATTCATCGATAAAGACAGTTAATCTTAATAAATATTTAGTTAAGCCATTTAAACAATATTTATGCGCATTATTCGAATCGTAAAAGCTTTGTCATTTCACAAATTCACTTAATAAAGAGTTTTCACCCGCCAGTATTGTCGATTATGTGGGAATAAAACTCGAAAAATCTATACATATATAGTATAGATATATACTTGTACATATATATGTATATTCAGTGTGGTCCGCTGCCGTTTGTCACCTTCACACGCGTCGCTATCTTTTTAAATACTAAAAATCTTCAAGATATTTCCCACCCATCCTCAACTCGAACTCATATTTATACATACCGACAAACATCTGAGTATATCCACCCACGACAATTCAAGAGGCAGCGCGCCACCGCAGACATGTTGTTGATATATTTTAGGCCTGTTTCCGAGATTTATGCTTGAAGTTAAAAATAGTCCAAACAACATATTTTATTTAATGGGTTGAGGAATGAGTGAATGTCAACGGAATTTTACGTATTTCATATCTTGTATACATATACATATAATACAAAGTATGTATTAAGTATTCATAAAATATTCCTACATACTGAAGTTACAGCGTGAGAAAGGCGGCAAAAAATATATTTTAAGCAAATTCTTCTCAGTTTTTCAAAAATGACCCGCCCAAGTCCTCGCTCAGCCGTCCTGTGGTCTTTTTTAAATTTAAAAATTTCAATATGTGCAACATGCGAGACTTCGTGAAAAAAGCCGAAGCCGACAGCTGGAAATCTGTTTCTAAACAAAGCCTTTTATTCTATTACTTGTTGTCTGCCAATGAGACAGTGACCCGTTAGTTAGAGTTCTTTTGTGGCCGACGGCATCGCCGCAATACCGAAAGGGAATCAACGCCAGATTCTCAGTGATCTTTGGACATCCACCCAGCTAAAACGGAGATGTGGTGAAGAACAAAAGCCCCTATCGTTTCAAAAACTCGCTCAAAAGAAGTCACTCACATCACCGCCTCTACTGAGATAAACCACCTCGGCTTAATCTTAGATATTAAACTTAACTGGAGCCAGCAACCGATAGAAAGAATGAGGAAAATATAACTGAACTAAGCACTGTAAAGCAGAAACTGAAAGAAAGATTAGGCTTAAAACTGTATATTTGGCATTGGATAAGTACAGTAGTAAAATCCATCCTCCTTAACTGGTAGACGGCCCTAGATTTTAATACCAAACAAAACAGAGTTCACTGGCCGGCAACGGTCCTTATAATTTGAGCCCTTCCATCGACTCCCGCAAAGACAATAGAAACTTTTCTAAACTTGCTGTCACTAAAAATTGCTATGGCAAGCTTCAAGCAAGCTGCAAAGCCATTTGTACTGAACGCAACTCAGCCTTCGAGGAATCGATGGATAGAGCGCGGCTGGATACTTTATTCTATACAAATTCCGGAAGGGATAGACTTAATCATCTGATGATTTCTTCAACATAAATAAATTTCTGAGAAGAATGATCGGGTTGATTTATACTCGTATGTTTTAGGTCAAAGATCTACACCCATAAATATGTCCAATCAACGAGTGAACTGAGAAGCTGCAAACACTACAGATATCTAAACAGGTTATTATTCGATTTGTGCTCCTGCTCTCTGAGAGCACTCAACAACTTGATATAAGGAAGCCTCCCGTAGGGCTTTGTCGTACCGCAATGGAAGGAAAAAAGGCTGAATATCTCGAAACGTTGCCAAAGTTGCGAAAGTAGAAGAAGGAAGTGAAACGCAATCACAGACAGAAGACAGAGTATGAGGAGATTGAGAAGCCGGACGACAGGAGAGATGCTCGTGTATTCTTTGAAAAGATGCGGCGACTTACAGAAGGTTTTCCGGCAAGGTGACCCTTTTCGTGTGAACTTTTTAATTGGATACTGGGGATATACTCTATGGAACTCAACAGTCGCGTCTCGAGATTTACTTTCGTCAGGCTGCATAAATAAGAGAAGTTTACCGTTTTGGTCCAGAATAAGAAATATATATATATAATATAAAATTTCTTCCGTCGTCAACATCACATTTTCAAGTCGACTTCAACGCCATGTTTGACATAACATAACTTTGATATCCTAGATAACTTCGCCTATCTTGGAACCAGCATGAGTATTGAAGCAATGACAGCCTTCAAATGTAACACAGAATCGGTCTTTCGTCCGCTTTGGACTTGTTATGCAGTTGAAAAGTAAAGCCACCTTTCGACGAGCAAAGGCAAAACTCTGAAAGTCGCTCAGGGACGAAGAATATCTGACGAGTCGACGTTAGCAGTTTTTATGAGAAAAGTTTGAGGATCTATGGTTACGTCCAGAGAAAGAGAAACCCATCCACTTCGTTGGAAGGATCAGATGGAGGATCCGCTTGGTGTCACCAATTGGTGGCATGCGGCAAAAAGAAGAGACGATTGGCGCTCTATTATTAACTAGGTTATAATCGCTAAAGCGGTGCCTACACCAAAAGAGAAGAAGGATTAAAGAGACCCTCAATAATGGGTTTCCGGGTCTTCAGGTCGAGGAAAATTTCTTCCTTCTATAAGAAAAGTTGCTAGGACTGTGGATTCGTTCATTTATCTCCCCTAAATTTGAACCGATCTCCCGAGGCGCAGATCATCGAACATTGGTCGAAATTCATTTTTCTCCTAGAGTTGATCAGTACTATCAGACTGAGCTTGGATTCGTCGTAGAGCAAAATTACAGAAAAATTCCAGGAGCCGACATATTTATTCAGTACAGATACATTTTTACAAATATATTTACTTACTAAAAATAAATAAATAAAAATAGCCTTCCTTAAAGGAGAGGAAAATATTTAAATAAATAATTTTTATTGCAACATTCTTGCCATTTGCATCAACCCACTGAGAAGAAGGATAGCCGAAAAGCCATCTCTACCATATTCTGTGGCACATCAGGCTTGTGGCATACGTAGACCTCCTTCATGGGTGAATTAAATAAACGGCCAACCACAACAAAACGACCCTTGACAGCGCTCTCCGACTCAGCGGCACCAGCTGCGGTGGCAGCATCACTGACCTCACGCACTTGTATTGTCATGCCGTATTCTTTAATGGCCAACATACCTTTACTAGCGGCGGGCTTAATGTTCTCTTGCGCCAACAGACGGCGATAATGTTTTGTATTCTGCAGCACGGCGCGTATTGTATGGCAAGCTTTGCGCATTTCGGCAAGGAATGGAAATGACTCGGAGTTTGCTTTGAGCGGGCAGAAAACCGAGCCATTGGTGTTATCTACGTAGACGTAATAGAAGACAGCGTTCTTCCAACCAGCGGAGATTTTCACCGGCACAACATTATTGATTTCCTTCCAAAGCGATTCGGTCATTTGCGTTTGCAGTTCAGAGTCGCCGCCATAATGCAAGGGGTTCTCTGCGCCGAAGTTATCCCAATCAGAGCCGCCGCTATCGGAATCTTCGTTATTGGGTGCAGCACTAGAGGATGGATTCGCTGTGTTGGTTAAACGCTTGCGGCTCGAGTCATCTTCACTGGCCGTAAGACTGTGTATGGATGAACCGCCTAGTGACGAGCAGAGATGCGTTTCCTCATCAAAGGCTAGCGTGCGTTGATTGGTCTGCGCCGAAGTGCCACCAGTGGCTGCCGAGGCGGCAGCGGCAAACTTTTGTTTTATGAAATTCTCTATTTTACGTGTCTCCTTCTCGGCGCTAGCCTCATCGGGTTGTTCAACTTTGTCCAACACTTCAGGACGCTTATTAGAGATTGACCAGAATATGGCTAACGATTCAATGCCGCATTGTATAAGATGATCGAGCGTCTCTTGAATTTCTTCGATGTAGAATAGGGAAGGTGGCACAGTGTCGCTCGGAGACAAGTCGGGCGCATCGAAAATCTTCAAAATCACTGCCAAAATCAAGTGATTGCGACTACAAATTGTCAAAAAGTAACGCCCTGTGGCCTGGGGCAAAGCGACTTCCTCCCACACATACAACTCCTTCACACATTGCTCGCTAATGAACTCGAATATACCGCGACAGCGCAAAAAGAGCTCAACGCTAGCGCGCACTTCCAACGGCATTTGCGAAGCGAGCAGGTAGTGATCGTAATACAACACGCTGCCGTGTATGAAGAACTCACGGTGCGTATTTAGCGGCTCATCATTCCAATTGCGATAGTCCATGGCCTCCATTTCGCTCAACGCATCAAAAATACGCAATTGCGCCTCCTTTGGTAGTGGCATGTGACGCGACTCCTTCAACAGTTCTTCGAAGAGTACCGGCTGCTTGTGTTGGGCGCGCAATATGCGCACGCGTTGTATTGCACAGAAGTTGTGTAGAAAACTTCGTAGCGCCGCCGAAGTTGCATTGCCATTGGTGAAGTTCTCCAAGTTGAGCGTGGGAAAAGCGAAACGTATATAACCGATGAGCTCGTCGGCGCGCAGACCAGCCTCCGGTTGTGTATGATAAGCGGCGGCATAAGCGAAGAGCACCAACAGGCCGTTTAGTGTGCGATAGCAGACAAAGTAGGTGACGCCGTTGACTTGCAGACGTGAGATGAGCGGTTTCGTTTGCAGCTCCTCGGTAAGCACAGCGTTTAAAGTGAGGAAACTACCACGCGCTTTGTAGAGAAAATTCGCTTGCGCATCTTCGGGATAGTAGTAGAGCGAATCTTTATGTTCATCGCTTTGATAACACTCCGGTGGCAATATGAGTAGCGCGAAGGGTAGTGCGCTGTCCGTTGTTGACTCCGCTAAAACTTCCGACTGAATCACTGTGCTGCCGCTTTTATCAGCATCCGTGGCCATGATGCGCAATTGTAACTTTTCAAATATTTTCGCAAACATTTCGAAATTCTCCACCTTCTGCAGCTCGCAGGCGCCACTACCACCACCCATGGCGCCTGCTTGGCCATTAGCATGCGCATGCCCAATGCCATCAGCGCTTTCAACGCGTCGCGGTACGCCCTGAAACTTGAGACACACTTTGGTGGGTTCAATGAACTGGAGTAGCAGTTCATCTACATTGCCAGTGCGCACTTCGATGTCATCCAACGACTTGAACCAATCGCCACGCTCGATTTCCGCTGTATCTGCGGTGACGGTTGAATGTGTGGACTGTTGTTGCTGTTGTTGTTGTTGTTGCTGCTGCTGCTGCTGCTGTTGCAGCATTGTAGGCATGGCATGCACAAAGCTGTCAACCATTAAACACTCCGGTTGGTCTGGGAATGGCACCACACGGAAGCCAAGTATCGACTCCACCGCGGTAGAGCGGCGTCCAAAGCGAAAACGATCTGCGGCCGTAATTACCAATTCCAATTGCTTGTAACATGGTGTTTCGTGTGACTTGTTAATGTGAGAGAAACGGTGTTCATGCGCTGCTGTTGACTGCGCAGCAGCTGACGGTGAGGGACGAGCGCTACCGCTACTGCTGCCATTCGATTTGGTCTGCTGTGCGGCGGACGGTGGCTGCTGTTGTGAACGTTGATTTGTTAACTTCAGTTCTTGTTGCTGCTGCTGCTGCTGCTGTTGTTGACGGCGCGCTGTCTTCTTACCCATGCGCAACGAGCTACTGCGCGCAAATTCAATACGTTTCTCATGCAGCGCGCGTCGCGCTTGTGGCAAATACTCTGCATAAAAAAGAGTGCCATCCTCAGCCACATACTCCTCCCAGTTGGCCAAATCGCTGCTATCCGTATAGGAGTCGCTGAATGAAGATTCAGAAGAGTAACTTTCGGAGCCACCCTCGCCACCGTTTAGTGCCAAACGTGCGGCGTCATGGTGATCGCGCAACAGCAGCGGCTGTGATTTGCGCATCACGCCGTATATGCAATTGGTAATTTAACCAAATTTATTTGCTAATACTTTTCACTGTATATATATGTATATGTATATATATGTATAAATAAACAGACACACACAAGATGGTTTTATTTATGACTTTTCGCTTTTGTTTTCCCTACTTTTTTCTAAGCCACAACGACACTATGTCTAAGCGCGTACAAGCCGAAGCGCTGATGTAACCAAATCGCCATTCACTTTGCAACTAAAACGCTCTGCGCTAAACGTTTAAACAGCAGCAGCATGCCACACCAGGTGAGGTGAGCGGACACTCAGTGTGCAACTCTTTTAGCTCTCTGTTTGGTAATACCACAATCAAACCTTGTTCCCTTCTTGCCCGCGCTGTTTCACTCCACCACAGCAACTGATCTTCACACAACACACATACGCATACATACACTTTTCTACTGTTCTCATGCAACTGGTTTAACTACCAAGCATTGCCAGCTGACTAAATAGTTTCCCGGGCTTAAAATTTCCTAAAGAACTTTGTACAAATGCTAGGTAGTCGCCTGCAGCTTACCTTCGACTTGGCAATGTCTTTAAAATATTTCTGTTAACCTACAGTTCAGACGGTGATCAGCTCATGATCAGCTTGTTTTGGCCGCCAAAAAGAATAAAGAGAGAGAAAGAGAGAGAGCGTGAGACGGAGTAGGTGTACATGTATAGCGCAGGCATGAGAACGTTTTAGCGACATACAAAACACTTTAAGCCGGAATCGTTGTTAGGTAAACATTGTGTCGAGATACCTGTCTACATAGTCAACCAGTTAATGACTTTATTTATTGCTCTAAGTTTGCCTTAGCGTTAGATGGCACTCTCTACCTCACTCTCTTTCTCCCTGTCTCTCTCTCTCTCTGTACTTGCTTGCTTGTGCTCGTAAATTTCATGCTCTGAAAGTGAAAGAAAATATTTTTATTGGCGATCATTCAAAGAGTAAAACTAACAGTATACGAATTTTTTTTTTTCTTAATTCTCTTTTTCTTTTTGAGCCACCACCTTATTAGCGTTCAGTTGTGTGGCTGGGAAAAATATGCCAGACTTACCTACTTTTGTTGCTGCAGCCACTCAATAGCTGTGTATTAAAGTATGTCACCGCCGGCGTTAAATGTCAAACGTGCTGGTTGTCGAAAATAAAGTGAAATTTATCATTATTCGAGTCTGCGAGACTGTAGCTCAGCTTCACTATTCGGTCACTTAATTATTTTGGCAATGTGTGTTGTTAATCTGATAAGGTTACGAAGATACACTGCGGGTATTTTTGGAACAGTCATATAGGCATAGCTCGAGACTTTACTCTGCATGAAAAAATCTCTAAAGTGAATTGACCAACCGTGCTCAGCTTAGACTCACATAGACTTTTTCAAAATTCAATAATAATAATTTTGGGCTACCAAGTCCCATCGGTTCAAGATAATCTGACTTCAATAACATCTACGCCGATACCAACGATGACTTCTTCAGGGTTTACTAGATTCTCAATACACTCAACCTACCGGTTGATTCCTAAACACTTATAAGAACGCACTCAATTGTCCGTGAACGGATAAATCGAACCCTACAGGTGTGGCTTCGGACCACGTATTCATCATGGGCCAAATTTGAAATGCAAGAGATCAACCATCTCTTCGTCGATTTTAAATCCGTCTTCGACCTCAACAGAACAGGTACTGTCTCCTCTACGCCACTGTGTCTAAATTCGCTATCCCTTCAAAACTTATATAGCTGAGTAACACCGAAAGTTGCATCAAAATCGCAGAAACCCTCCCCAAACCGTTCGATATCAAACAAAGTTTCAGACATGGTAACTCGTATGGATTACTTAATTTAAAGCTGAAGAGGATAGAACGGTTAGCAGACCTGCTAAACAGCGAAGCTAAAAACTTATACAAGAGCGTTGACATCATCGCCCTCAAAAATCGCGTTAGCTCTGTTTTCTTTAAAGAACGAGGACAAGACTAAATGTTTTCATAAAAAAAGAAACTCTCACAACACCGCGTCTTGGTTTTCGCCGTTGGCGCTCATGACTTTGAAGTTGTTCCTACGTTTATCTTGTAACTAGTATTCAAATCAAGAGCAATGGCAGTCTGGAAGTACAACGTAGAAACACTCTTGCCAGCAGTTGCAACTTTGGACAGAGCTAAGAAAGAGTATTTTTTTGGAAAAACTGAAAGATAAGCTATGTGAGTTAAATTGACTGTATCATGTCGTCTCAAAGGATGAAAATACTCCAGCTTTGAAATATTTCAGCGTGGTATCCGCAACGGAAGCAGGGGCAGACCTCCATTCCAGTGAAAAATATGAGCTAGAGAAGGACTTTGATTCACTTGGTGCCTCCAATTTAAGCAGAAGACAGAATTTGTGTGCTTTTGTTGATTCAGCAGTAACCAGGAAACGGTGACTTCGCAAATTGAGAGAGTATAATGAAGTACTTTCCTCAGAAAATCTGGCGCCAAATTTTTTCATGGTCGTTTATCGAGCATATTCGATAGTTCGAAATGATAGGCAACACGAAATTCCTATCACTTCGGTTTTAAATAACGAGTCGGTCTTTTGCATCTTTTACTGAATTCGAAGTGTACCATTATCGTGCAGTAAGGAGAGAACGCTGCTTAAGTTCCAAGTGTGCCCAGATAACCATAAGAAACGCTATTAAACAGTTCCAGGAAGTGTTTATATATCCACTATAATAGATTCCTTGGAGGAACATGCCTTGATTTGGCTGAAATGCACATCAATATCGCATCCGTTATAAGCTTATTCTTAGCAGTGTCGTAAAGGCAACTAGAGATCTCAATATTTTCCCACTTTCTCATCTACCGATTTGGGGTATCATCTTCCAAGCAGCAAATGACTAATGACATCCTCTCGAAGTATACAGAAATCAATCATAATCTCATACAGAATGAGAAATGAAATACAACAAAACTCCCTCCTTGACTTCGCCATCGGTGATAATTGTTGGCCCCTCAGCTCTTTTATTCACTTTTGAAAAGGGGTAATAAATACAAGGGATCAGATATGGGCTGTGGGATGGGTGATTCAAATTAATGAAATTCATCTTATGCAAGGCAGTCAACGCAACACGACGCTTGTTTTTTGCGGAGCCGTGAGCATTCACGCCAACCACCTTGATCATTTCGGCAAGTAATTTCTTCCTTAGTCGAGCAACGTCGATGACAATACTTTCAACTTAATGAATAAGTTCTGGCGTGGTCAACTCGATGCTAATCTTCAAGGGATTGCCTGCATTGTTAAATTAAACGGTGCTATTCGTGCAGCATGGTTTTTGCCGGACAAGAGTCGTCGTAAGTCAATGACATCTCTTTCAGTTTGGTTGCAACAGATTTTCCTTGCTTGGTAAGGAATTTTATGACATAATATTGGGTGTTTTTCGTATTTAACTAACGATTATGTTGCTTGTATGACGTCAGCTCAAAGACAATGAAACCTCCCATTTAAATTGTACTATATCAGTCTGAGTCACTGTACATGTTATGACCCTAATGTGCCTTGAGCGCAAAACTCCTACCGCATACCAACCTCTATTAGAGTCTCGGAGTGGGTGTCATGCATAGAATAGATGAAAACAATAACAATTTACAACAACTTCTGTAAAATTTAGTCATAGGATATTGGAAATATTTAATATCCCAGAATTTCCCTCAATCAATTCACAAGTATTATTTATATACATGTATGTATATTACTTATGTGTTTGTAGTTAATTTCCCAAATTACCGAAAAACGACCTAAATATTGAGCACACTAATTGACAATAGTTTATTTTGGAAAAAATTTGTAGAATAATTAAATTAAGTCAATAAAATTTCCAAAATTCGCCACGTGTACATACATACATACATTTTTCAAAAAAACGCCATCAAAGCCTTTATCTGTGCAAAAAAAAAATAATAAAAAAAAATTGATCACAAATTGAAAGCATGTAAATTGGTAATTACTTTATGCACATGACAGGCTTTATTATATATTTAAATATATGATTATTTATGTACACGTATGTACATATATACGAGTAGTAATCCTTATGACCAAAGATAGAGAAAGTTGTACGTTGTTGTTTATTGGTTTATTCTGTCAAGGTAATCAAATTCACTTTGCTATTCAAATTCATCATTCAGTAGATTTTGTTACTATTTCGTATTCTGAACTCACTGTCACCCTGTAAATCTTGTTATCCGCAAAATAGTAGGGAACAAAAAATTTCCTGTTTGTTTTTGTGTTGTTAGCTTGAGAAAAAATAAATACCGACGCTTTTAATTTGGCAGTTAACGTTTTCATGCAGTTTGTTTTTTTTTTGTCCAGGCATATTTTCCATAATTATGTTAAAATATTTATGATTTAATAAATAAATAAAAGAAACTTATTTATTTTGTTGTGCAACGTCTTCCCTTTCAATGTGAATATTCTTCTTTTTACTTTACCAACCGACAAAATGGAGTTTGACATCGTCGAAAAAACAGTGCGGCCAAAGTTTTGTCCAGTTCGCCGGGATTTCATATTCAATTACAAGTGCTTAAAAAAAAAGTAACAAAATTTCCTGTACCGATAACAGTAAGAATAGGCCTGTAGAAGTCATTTTGTATTCTATTTCTCAGACAACGTGCTGTTTTGCACTTCCGGTTTGCGTTCCTCTCTTGTTTTGTCTAGTTACGTGAGTTCTTTTATTGTCTACAAAGAGGTACATATATATAAATATAATAAGTTACGTAGTACTAGCGCCTAACAAAGTCAATATTTACTTGTACTCCACTACTTTTAAGTAACTATATTATCGAGGATTTTATGGTAAATATTCTCAATCACTACTAGATTAAGCTTGACAATATTGTTATCGCCCCAAACGAGGGCAAACCAATAAGTATATACACACTTAAGAGAAATAGTCGAGAGATTATATTATGTACAGCCATTCTGAAAACCAGGTTACGAGTTTTGACTCAAGTTCAGTTAATGTCAAGCCCTGCGAGCGTACTTAAAGCGTGTGAGGTGCTTGAAGATAGTGGGTATCACAAAAGAGTACGCCTCATAGAGCGAGTGCAAGTGTGTGAGAAATTTTTGGAAAAGTATTTGATGGTATTTGAGTGAATTACGAACGAGTTTTCACATCTTTAGGTCACTGTCAATGAAACATGGATTTATTAATACACACACGAGGTCAGAGAACAGTCTAAAGCGAAATTTTACAGGGTAATGCTGCTCCGCAATTGTCAAATATCAACGTGAAGAAGAAAATAAAGCCTCACATGGCTAAACTGTGCTAAATTAGCCACGAAAAGTTATTCTTCCATCCTGGCTGCGCATCGGCGCACTGAACTACTTCGATTTGGCTCTAATCTTCAAACTCTCCGAATGAGGAGATCCTACCGCTAGTGCAGACTTCGAGATAATGTATTTTTCAGACGGATAAAAGAAGTTGAGGC